CACCGCAGCTATGTGGAAAGAGTAGGAGCCTTTGCCGTCGCCAAGAAGAGTGGGCGGCAGCGGCTTGTGATTGATGCCAGGCTGGCCAATTTGCACTTTGAGAAGCCTGAGAAGGCGCGATTGGCTACAGGCAGCACTTTTGCTAGACTGGAAGTGGATAATGGGCCGCCTGTGGAGGACAACATTTCCCTTCCTGCAGGTCTTAGAAAGCTGTTTGCACTGCCGGGCATCCTGGCGCGAGATGTGGGGGTGACAGTCTGCGAAGGCCAGCAAGTGAAGCCTAGTACCGTGGTCTTCCCAGTTTTGAAAGTGGTGCCTATGGGATGGTCGCATGCTCTTTGGGTTTGCCAATATGCTCATGAGGCTGTAGTCAACTGTAACCCTCACGTGGATAGCCAGCTGCGGGTGGTCGACAAAAGAGAGGTCCCCAAACTCAAGTCCTATCTCCATACAGAGTATGCGGACAACTTTGTGGTTTTGACTCAGAGAAAAGGGCTCGCTTATGATCTCGCTGACCGCATTGGTCAGGCTCTGCGCGAACGGGGTCTGCCGACTCATGAAGTGGAGGCAGGAACTGGGTTGGAAACTTTGGGGTGGAAATTTAGTAAAGATCATCCAATGGTGCAGGTTACCCCAAAAAGATTGTGGAAGTTGCGACTGGCCACTCAAGAGTTGCTCAGGGTAGGACGGTGTGATGGAAGGCTTCTGGAACGTTTGATTGGGCACTATACATTTGCGGGTTTGCTTCAAAGAGGTTTCCTTTCTGTTTTTCAAGCTAGCTACGTTTTCGTGCGCAAACATTACAATCAAACAGTGACTATTTGGCCAGAAGTTCACAGAGAATTGTTTTGGGCTTGTTCATTGATCTGTCTCGTTCGGCGGGACCTCAGTGCAGTCTGGTCTGAGACAGTCCATGCAACAGACGCTTCTTTTTGGGGTCGTGGAGTCACCAGCACACATAGGGATGAGAGTGACATTCGCAATGTGGCCGCTTATTGTGATCGCTGGAGGTTTTCTGCGGAAGAGGAGAAGGCCGTGTGCGAGGCCGAGTCATTGACGGCAGCGCAGCAGCTGGATCCTGAATCACTGGCGCTGCCGGCCGAAGAGCTGGGTGGCATTGGCAACTCGGATCAAGTGCGGGAAGTTCCATTAGGGTTTATTGGGGAAGACTGGATAAAGGTGGACTCAGCCAAGTGGGACAGGGTAGAAGGTATTCCTACATTGGAAGGTCGCAGTGTGGTATGGTTGGGACAACATCTGGCCAGGTCTCAGAAGAATTTGGGGCGACGGCATTTGGTATTGACTGATTCTATGTCTGTAACATTGTCACTTACCAAGGGGAGATCTTCTACCAGGTCACTTAATCGGGTTTGTCGTCAGATGGCTGCTATTGAGTTGATGAGTGGTATGCAATTCAATTATAGGTGGTTTCCATCAGAGCTCAATCCTGCAGATTTTCCTTCGAGGGCCCAAACCTTGGAATCTTTTTCGCTTTTGAGCGGAGTTCAGAAGCTTCGCGATACCCATGCTGCCAAGAGCCTCTCGGGCAGAGGTGCCAGCTGGAGGCGATCGGCGCTCCAGCACTATGACCAGGAGTTGTCATCTCGGTGCAGCCCCCAAGTCGGCTGCCAAGCACCCGCTGACTCTGAGGGAGAACCGAGAGGTGTTGAAGAGACAAGAAGCCAGAGCGATCAGAGCAGAGCATCGCCGACAGCTTCATGGAGAAGCGCCGCCGATGGTGGGAGCCGGTCAGAAGAGTTTCCTAGAGTGCCGCACGGTGACGCTGCCTCGTTGGAAGAGCTACAAAAAGGCTTGGGACGAATTCACAGCATGGGCTCGTCGTGTGGCACTCCCCATCGAAAGCCTGGCAGACCTCGACATTGCCTTGACCAACAAGCTGAACCAGATGTTCTTCGAGGGAGCAGACCAAGCAGATGGAGCCACTCTTCAAGCTGCAGTCAAGTACTTCCGAGAAGATGTGACAAAAGTCAGCCTGTTGCCAAGGAGTGTCGAGGCGATGAAGGGCTTCAGAAAGCTCGAGCCAGCTCAGGGGAGAGTGCCCATGCCGTGGCCGATGGTGTGTCGAGTGGTGCAGAGGCTATGGAGCGAGTTCAGGGAGGCCGCATTGTGGATGTTGATGGTGTGGGCAACCTGCTCCCGCCCGGGGGAGATCTTCAAGCTGAAGAAGCGCCATTTGGTCCCTCCGTCCAAGATGAGCCGCTTTTGGGTGGTGATTTTGAACCCAGGAGTGGAGCGACCTGGAATCGGGGTGGGCCGCAAGCGCAAGGCAGACCAAGTGGATGCTCCTCAGCAGGTGCTGCCTTCGAAAGTCGGAGAGTTGGACGAGGCCATCTTGCTCGACCAACCTTACGTTCAAGGGCTGGGCAAGATCATGGCCGACTTTGTCAAGCACCTCGAGCCCCACGACAGGATCTTCAACATGGATCCAAAGAGGGCCACAACAGCTTTCAACGAAGTGATCATGGAAGAGGGGTACGACAGAGTGGGCATCAATTGCTCGTATCAGCTCCGTCACGGGTCTGCGTCTACGGACATGTTAGACGGATTGGGGAGCTTCACAGAGGTGCAGAAACGAGGAAGGTGGCAAGCACAGAAGTCAGTCCGCCGATACAGCAACGGCGGTCGAATCTCCCAGGTGTTTGCGGAGTTGTCAGACCAACAGAAGGCCGACGCCATGGCCGCGGAGTCATGGATGTCAAAGATTTTAGGACATGGAAGTCGTGCAGGCGCTTCTTCAAGGGCATAGGGCTGGAACTTTTTAGCGGCTGTGGACGTTTTTCAAGAGCGATCAGAAAAAAGATGTTACACCTTTTTTGTGTGGAAGTTGACATTGCACATGGTCCTCAATTTGATCTTAGTTCTCGTCGCATTCAACAAGAGATTTTTCAGCTTCTTCAGTCAAAAGCAGTCAAGTATGTTTGGATGGGAACTCCTTGCAATAGTTGGAGCCGTGCCCGTAGATGGGATGGCAGGGGCCCGGGACCATTGCGAGATGATGCTGCAGGGTTGCTGGGATTACCCAATCTTTCTGGGTCAGATCAACGAAAAGTGGAACTGGGGAACGCATTGATGAGATTTTCAGCCAAGATATTTCGCATGTGCATGTCTCTCAACATCCCGGTTGTCCTCGAAAACCCTCACACATCGAGATTATGGTTAGCTCCTCCTATTCGACATCTTTTACATCATTCTCAGACTGAATACTTTGCCACAGATTTTTGTCAAGATGGAACCCCTTGGAGAAAGAGAATGGGTCTTTTGTCATTTGGCCTTGATCTCAGGTATGCTGTTCGCCGCTGTGCAGCTGCGCCTGGCATTTGCTCTCGCACGGGCCTGCGGCACCAGCATCTGGAGGGCATCGTGAATGGCCAGTTCAGGACTCTGGCAGCTCAGCCGTATCCCTTAGGATTGTGTCGTAGGCTTGCAACTGCATTTCACCATTCTTGCATGCGAAGATGTTCTGCTAAAATTTGGGAAATTATCCAAGGGCCTTAGGCCAGAAACACGTAGGGCAGGCTTTGGGCTGTGCTACTGTATTTGGAGGTTTTGGCTTAAGTGCCATGCCTCGCTTCAGCACAGCATAGCCAAAGAGTACAGACAAGAGCCTGGCCTTGGAAAACAATTTGCGGAACATGTAACTGTTGACAGGGGATTGTGTAGCACATGTTGGAGTGGCCGCGGGATATCCGCTCAAGTCACCCACCCTGGGTCTTTTCCCATCCCAACTTGAGGCGGAGGTTTTGGCTTAAGTGCCATGCCTCGCTTCAGCACAGCATAGCCAAAGAGTACAGACAAGAGCCTGGCCTTGGAAAACAATTTGCGGAACAAAATAGTGATAGCTATAGGAACCTATACGGGACCAGAAACCCTGCCTTACCACCCGTCAAAGTGCAACTCGGGGAAGTTTGTAAATGAATCAATGAACAAACGCACGAGGGAACCAGTGAGTCAATGAATCAATGAACCAATGACTGAGTGAATGAGTGAGTCGGTGAATCAACGAACCAGCGAATCAATAATCAGTGAATAACTGATTCGCCAGTGAATCCGTGAATCCATGGATCAACCAATGAACCACTGAACGAAGGGATGGATGGATGGATGGATGGATGGGCGAGCTACTATTTTCTTTGTTGAGCTACTTCTTCACTGAGCGACCTCTTCGCTGAGGCACCCCTTCTCTCAGCTACTCCTTCTCTGAGCAGCCACTTATCTGGGCTACTTGTGCTCTGAGCTGCCTTTTAGCTAGCTCTTTTGTAGCTTCTGCAACCCAATTCTTCTTCGTGCAGCTGTTACAATGCGATTAGCAGCCTCCAGCTGCAATCCCGCATAGCACAATCGTAGCACTATGGTCAAGAGCTACCTTTCGCGCAGCTGTTACAATGCGATTAGCAACCTCCAGCTGCAATCCCGCTTGCAAACCCGCATAGCAGGAGCGATGCCAAATCGACCACTATTCGCGCACCGTCAACAGTGCGGACTTTTCGGGGGACGTGCCAGATTTCTGTACAGTTTTTATGTGAAACCAAGCTCTGGCTACAGTCTGGTGCACATTTTGTCCTAAAGTGCTCCGGCGTCTTCGGTTTTTGAGCATTTTGACAAAGCGAGCTCTCGCTACAGTTCTGTGCGTTTTTTTCCAAAACTTTTGCAGATCGAGGCCCGGAACCGCGGAAACAGAGACCCTACTTCGACGACCACGGAAGCCACTTTACCCGAAGAAACACTAGGCTTTGCGCGCCGGATGTAGCGTTTTCACCCGTGAATTCACACATTTCACACGCTTCCGACTTGTTACACGTCCCAAGTGGTTGACATTACGGCCTATGGTGGACATGATATGTTGACCATGACAATCGCCTGTAACTCGGAAGTTTTCTATCTTAACTTCATTTGATATATATATATATACATATATGATATACAATCGAATATATGAGATCAGTGTAAGTGGTCATTTGGTCAATTCGACATCGACTAAGGTTATTCTCATCTCGCAATGCCTTCTGTGTATTGTGACAGCATCCGATGATCGCTGGGCAGCATTCTCACAACTTGGATGGCAACATGGAGATCGTCCAAGTCACGACAACAGCGACGAAACGTATTTCAGGGTTCCACATGTTGGGACGGGCATGAGGTGGAGCTGGTCCTCTTAACCGCTTGTAAAGAACAGTTACTTTGATTCGTTTGTAGAATTCGTTGTGTTATATAAGTACAACCATTTCTGTATTCCTCAAGTGGAGTCAACTGGATATGAGTGCAAACCACAGTGAATTTACATACTTCACAACATGTAGCATTGGAACTTTACCGTGAACTCCACTAGTTGGTTTTTCAAGAACAATCTCTGAGGCATAGTTGTCCTTTTGGCATTGCGGCAACGAAATATGGACTTGCTCGAGCGCAAGGCCCAAGCCGTCTCAGATCCCAGCAGTCCAGAGTATGGCAGATATTTGGAGCGAGATGAACTCTATGGCATCTCTGGTTCGTCAGCTTACAATGTAGACCTGGTGGAGAAATTCTTTAGCGAACTGCCAGGGACATTCCAGTTTTCATTTGGCAAGGATTTTGCCAGGTACACCTGCACCATTGCATGTGTTGAAAAGGTGTTTAACACCACCTTGCGAATACAGAAAGGAAGAGTAGCACCAGGGACAACACCCATTCGAGCCTCGGAACCTGTCCGCCTGCCAGTGAATATTCAGAATGCGTTAGAAGGGACCTCTTTGAATGCCCCACTCTTCATGCCCCCACATCCTCGGCAGTCCAAAGTGATGCCATTTCGTTACAAACGGTCAGGTCGGACAGCACCTCGTGTTCGTCCAATGATGGTAGCAGGCGACCAATTCATCAGTATTCATTTTGTTGCATATTGCAAAGACAAAGTTGTCAATCAAGATACCGTTCAAAATGGGATCTGCAGAAACAGTCCCCATTCACGTCTCATCACAGCGTTCGACGTCCTAGTGCTGCAAACGGCCACAAATTGGCAGAAACTTGTGAGAGTTCCTGCGGTTCCTGACACTCTGGGAGAAAAGGTGGCAAAGACCGAAGACAACCAGACCTGCACGGAGTTTAATGCCACCCTGGGAAATATTCAAAACTATGCGAGTACCACCGTGCGTATCCGATCGCTGTTCTCTGATGGTTCGGTTTCGGACTTCAGTGACCCAAGTGAAGTGATGCCAAGTTGGCCAATGGCCTACACCACTCCTTCGCTGCTGTCTCGCAACTATCGGATTCCAATGCATGAGCCAGTGCGTCATCCACGCAACAGCATTTCTGTTGCTGAATTTCTGGGCCAGTACTACAACCCTGATGACTTGGATGCATTTTTCAAGCTGATGGGTGTACGTGAATGGGGAACACGACCAAAGCTAAGTCTTATCGGAGAGAACCTTCCCATGGCAGGTTCTGTGCTCGGAGGAGAGGCACAGCTTGATATTCAATACATCACATCTTTGGCTGCAAATGTTTCAACCTTCTTTTGGAGTGTGCCTTCCATTGAGCTTGCAACACGTCAAGAGCCCTTCCTGGACTGGTTGATGCAGCTGGAGGACACAGATGACTCAGAGATTCCATTGGTCCATTCAGTGTCGTACTCTGATGATGCCTTGACTATGCCGTTTTGGTTCAAGCGCCGCGTCAATGAGGAATTTATGAAGCTGGCTCTCAGAGGCATCACAGTGCTGGTTGCAAGTGGAGATGATGGTGTGAGTGGCAACTTTGTTGCGAAGGAAGGGCTGAAGTACTGCGGAGTGAATCGGGAAGAGTTTCCATCATCATCCCCATGGGTGACTTCCGTTGGAGGAACGCAACTAGCACAAGAGAACGTCCCGGTTTGTGGTTATGCTTCCGAAGATGTCATGGTTCAGTGTCCCCATGATGGAGAGGTGGTATGCACATCAGACAAAGGAGGTGGAATCACATCAGGCGGGGGCTTCTCCTCTGACTTTCCCAGACCCTGGTATCAACATGAGGCAGTGGAACACTACCTCCATCAGACAGACAACCCAGTACCGAGCCAAGACAAGCTGAAGTACAATAAATTTGGCCGCGCATTCCCCGACTTAGCAGCGCTTTCAAGTAACTACTTGGTACTCATGGGTGACGACTTGACCGCCATGTCTGGAACCTCAGCCTCCACCCCATTGGTTGCATCCATGGTGGCACGTTGGAATGAAGATCGATTGCAGCAGCGAATGCCTCCACTAGGATTTCTGAATCCTTTGCTGTACCAGATTCTTTCCAAGTATCCCAGTGCTTTCAACGACGTTCAGATCGGTGACAACCGATGCTCCCGGGGATCTGCTTGTTGCCCAACAGGCTTCGCGGCAGCCCGGGGCTGGGATGCCGTCAGCGGCTGTGGCTCGCCCGATTTTCAGCTCGTGGCCAAGATCCTGCGCGAGGACTGGGATATGGGCAGGGATGGAGAAGTGATGAAATCTGAAAAAAAGTATGGGGAATTAAAGTATATTAACGTAAATTGAATGGGATTTGATTTATTTGATTGGATGTAGTTTGAATCCAACAATGAAATTAGGTGTGTCTAAAATTGAAATTCACTGGATGCATTCACTATTGGAAATGCCATTGGATGGAACAAGGTGCCCTATTTTCAGACAAACACATGTGATGGAAGTACCATGTGTTTACTAATGTTTCCTTAAACATATACACGTGGGCATAAACATGATGAGCATTTTCTTTAGCTGTTGGGATTGTGCAAACCCTTTGTTACTGAGGTTTTGGTGGTGGATTTCTGTTGCTACAAGTTAAACAGGACTGTCAATTGTGTGCATTTTGACATGCGAATCTTATCTCATCTTCTGAGGATGCTATGATGTCCTTTCGCAGTAGATTCAGTGGACCAGCACAACCACTGGCTTTGGATGCTGTTCAAGGCCACTGGGAAGCAGTTGGACCAGCTGCGCAATGTTCACAGATCAGATGCACTTTTTTTGTTCATTTTTTTGTTCATGGACTGGAAGCCACAAGCCAAGACTTCATGCATAGATCCCTCATGACTGGTAGCTCCAAGTATGCAACTGGAATGGCAAGACAGGTTTGAAGGGCACTTGCCAGATTTGCAAACCCAAATTTGAAGGATGCGGTAGTGTGACCATCACGTTATTGCCTGATTAAAACATACTACAACTCAGGTCCTGGATGGATGTTTTTGATCGTGATGATGCTGCTTCAGTCGCTGATCACTGGCTTTGCTACTTGTCTTGCAAGAACACTTTGCACATTTTTGATCCTTTTCTCATTTCTTGTGGTTTCTGGACCTACCAGCCGCTGCCAGCCGTTGAAAATCTACCATGGCCGTGGCAACATCTCAGGTCGTCTTCGTTCTGATGGGTGGCTGTCGCCGCTGGAAACTTGTGCATGCGATGAGGCCACTCTTGTGACTTGGCAGCTGTTGACCAACTATGGAATGACAAGAGCAATAGGATCAACAGGCTCAAAGGGACACGCTGGTTGAGTTGGGATGGTTTGGTCCAACATAATTACTCTGCAATGCCAAATGAAGGTTTGGAGCTTGAGCTGAGTGGAAATTGTTTGTGAATGCTCTACCCAAGCGGGTGTTTATCTGTTATGAAGATGGAATTGAAACCTCATAGAAACATGGTCCATCCAGGAAAGCATGAGTGAAGTGGCATTGTCACTTCTGCGCTTTCCCCTCTAAGGGATGGGTGACATCCTGATGGCCTCCAGTCTGGTAGAATGAGGTAGGAATGAGATAGGAAGATTTCGCTGATTTCAATTCTTGAACTATCTCCGCACGGTACGCTTGGATAGCTCCTCGACCCAGCAAATCATGTTGAAGGAAAGACGAGTAGAGCTGGCTGCAGAAACCGATCCAGGATAATCCAAGCGTTTCTAGTCGCAGAGTTTAGATAGAGGACATATGCGCAATGCGCCATGCCAAAGTCGGCACAAGTCCTTCACACGTCTGATCTTTTGAATATACACAGCTGGTGCAGCTGTTTGATGCTGTTCCGCAGTGGACTCATGCTGGAGCGTGCAAAAACATGTTTGAACACCGCGTGTTGAAAATGGTTTTGCGGCCACTTGGTCCACTTGATTTCCACTGGTGCAGCCAGCTTTGGATCGAGCAAGTCCATTGGCCGAAGTCTGCAATCCGAATTTACATGCGAAGATCCAAAACCCAGAGATTCCTCCAACGAAATCAAAACCAAGATGCAGGAAAGGAGTTTGTTGTCCACCACGCCCTGAGTTGAGTTAGCCCTGAATTTTAGTTAATTGCTTGCCATGGCCAATGAACAGCCTGGACCTCGGAAAATGCAAACACCTCATTTATTGTTGTGCAATATCATATATATATAATATATGTATATATATATAGTTATATTATATAATATACACATACAAAAATATGTATCTTTCTTACACGTACATTTAGATGGTCCAAAGCAGATTCTGTCCTACCAGCTGTAGAACTTATATGGCACACACACACATAATATATTACAAAATTATATAGTATTAGATATATGATATATGTGTGACTTTGATCAATATGCCTGAAATTGTATAGATCTATCCAATATGTTTCAATCTTTTTAGATGACTTACTAAACATCCACCTAATACTAAAGTTACTCAGCATCCTTATTCTAGGATCCCAAATATATGATTTCATCCCCATCCCATCCATCCCCAATGACTCACCGTGGACCCAAGATGACCATGGCCATGGTGGCCCCGTGGCCTAGGCCGCGCCGGCCTCCCAGCGCCTACTTCCTTTGGCTTTCTGCGAAACGCGAAGACATCGCCAAGTCCTTGGGCACTGGAAAGGGCCCTGAAGTCTCCAAAGAGGTGCGAACGGATGGTGGAAGATCTTTAGGCACACAGATGTATAGATTATATATATATATGTATATACGCATATATATATATATACTGTATACACAATTATATATATATATATACATACGAACATGCTTATAGTATAAAAAGATGATGTATTGTGTTTTTACACTTACAATAATCCAATATGATATATTGTATTGATATATAGTTTCGAAGTTTGAAGCGTGTGTGGGATGATCTCCGAGGACTGATAGTCTTTTTAAACCACCAGCCAGTGCATGTATAAAGCATTTGCTGTGTATACACTTTATGTTTGCTGAAGGTGTGTAGCGGATCAACTGTGCAAGGCTGGCAAGTTGTGGAAGCAGCTGACCGAAGAGGAAAAGAAACCATTCGAAGTTCAAGCTAAAGCTCTGAGATCAGAATATGTGGAGCACTCAGTTGAGCTGCTTAAACTTGAGAGCGACTCTACAAGCTTACCCAGCTGAGCCCGAGGATAAGAAGATGATCCTTTTCAAGGCGCGGCTTTTAAAGTCTTCGGTCTCCCAATATGAATGTAACAACATGATCAACATGCTTGACAGGCTCAGGGAGGAGTGGTAACGAAGAAGCGTCCCCTTGGAGATGATGCAAAGGACTCTTTGTCGTTTTCGATGGCTTGGGCAAAGCAACAAAAGCAACAGTCCTCTTAGCATGTGAGTTTTTGTGGTCAAAATGTCGCAGCCACCTTGCTATTAAGTGGACTAAAAGCCACAGCTGTAAGGCAGATGTCTGGCAATAAAGATGCACGTGCTTTCCCATTTCATGTAAGACAACTCATTGTTGGACCATGGTGGACCCCTGCCGCAGGAGGGCAAACCCAGACGTCCCGTTGGAGGAGCCTATGGATGCTTTCTGGCTGCCAAGCGGTCAGAGATCGCCAAGAATCTGCCGGAAGGCCACAAGATGACCGATGTTGGTAAGGCCCAGGGGCCCAGCTGCTTCTCTGGTGATGCGTTGCAAGGTGTTTCTGTTTTATTCTTGTGAGACAATGGTGGTGAAGAGAATGCCCAGAGAACTGATAACAAAATCAAAATGGCGGTGGAGAGATGACTGAGACATACTGAGACAACATGAGACAACTGTTGAATGTTGACCTTCACGTAGGAGTTGCTGTAGCACTGTAGCCTCTCAACTGGTGTCTTTTTGCACCTCTTTGGCACCGCTCAGCTTCAGGCTGCGGGTGAGATGTGGAGAGGCCTCTTAGCATCTGAGAAGAAGCCATATGAAGAGGACTATGCAAAGAAATTGACCGAATACCGTGAAGCCAAGGAAGCGTACGATGCTGAACACGAAGGTTTACTTGACTTGATTGCACTTGCAAAGCCCAGTAAGACTTTGAAGAAGTGGAGTGAGGCTGAGGCCAGTGAGGTTCACAAAGACGAAGCTCATGCCCTGAAGGCCATTGAAGCGGGAGCCTAGAGGGCCTGGAAACTTGGTTTTGGTTGCTCCAAATGTATCCAAATGTTGCTCCACATGTTTCTGTACAGAGGTTGGTATCAAGAAGAGACTGACCATGGGCCCGGACAGGTTTGATTTGAATTCTTCAGATCTGCTCCGATTGTACTCTTTCACGTTTTCAACGCTACACGCGTTTGGTTGGGGGCTTCTCTTCGTTTCTGGGGGTGCGGAAAGATGCAGAAGTGACTGTGCAGAATTGTAATTCATGCGTTGGCAAAAAGAAGACAAGACTGCTGGAATGACTTGGGACTATTTCATGCTTAAAGTTACTCAAGGCTGTTTGAAGGAAATGGAAACAGCCTCTTTGGAGCGAGCGTCAGTTCCTTTGCTTTGCCAGAGACATTGCATTCATTAAAGATGACGAGGACATAATGTCTAGATCATTGGTCATCAAGGTATGCTGATAGACCTCATGAATTGTATCTTCCACATCATGTTTCCCATTTCGGCCATTTCTTGTTCTGAGCTTTCGGCTCTAGACCGGGTCGTTCACCCGGCCATGGCGACCCTGGCCATCCACAACCATGAAACGCCACTGGATTTGGTAGCCAGGAACCTGAAGAGCGACAGGGCCAGCCAGAGATGTGGTGCACTACGAGACATCGGCAGAATGGGCCACAGGATCTCAAGAAGAGATATGGACCAAACCGTGGTGCCCATGTTGGGTGATTCAGATTCAGCTGTGCAAGAACATGCCTTACTGGCCTTGAGCCAGATGGGAGAAAAATCTCAAGCATTTGCACAAATGGTTGCAGCAAAGCTTGAGCAGAGCCGGGCGAAGCAGGTGAAACGCGCTGCAATGCTTGCTTTGGGCAGCATGGGTCCAGCTGCCGTTACCCATGCCGGGTCCGTACAGGCTCTTCTCAGGGAGAGAGATCTGGATTTAGTGGTTGATGCCTGTACAGCGCTAGGCAAAATGCAGGCAACACAGGCAGCAGATGAGGTTGCAGCAACACTCACAAGTCCTGACACAGATGTGGTTTTCGCCGCTTGCATGAGCTTGTCCGAAATGGACAGCCATCAACAGGAGATTGGAAACCTTCTGAAGCACTCCAATGCTCGAATCAAGTCAGCGGCTGTGAATGCTCTGAAAGGGATGTCAGGATCTGAAAGGTATTCCTCAGATGTGGTTTCCCTCTTGGGAGACAAGGACAGCTATGTGCGCCTGGGCGCTGCAGATTTTACTTGCAGACTTGGCGCGAAAGCTGCAGACATGGTTGTGCCCATTGGGAAGTTCCTCTCAGACTCTGATCCTGGAGTGGTAGCAGCAGCTGCTGCTGCACTGGGAGGCATTGGGGAAGCTGCAGCTTCACAAATCCCAGCCCTGGAACAGGCGCTGAGAAATCCAGGAGAGGATTCATCGACCTTGCCACTGACTGTGGCGGGCATCTCTCCCAAGCTCGCTTCTCTGCTTCGAAAACCTGCCTGTGCAGCTGCAAATGCCTTGTCCAACATGGGCACTGCCGGTGCAACTTCAGCACCTCGGCTGGTGGAGTGCTTGAACTCCAAAGACTGGGAGGTGCGAGTAGCTGGACTCCATGCATTGAGCAAAATGGCGAGCGCCAGTGCCCGATACGAGTACCACGTGGTTGACCTGTTGCGCGATGAGATCCCACCTGTTGCTGCAGCTGCTTGCTTAGCTGCAGGCGAGATTGCAGCAACCGGAGCGGCCAACAGCTCGACGGCACGAGCAGTTGCAGAGTTGTTGGAGCATCCACATCCAACGGTTCGAGCTCGAGCAGTTCAAAGTCTCAGTAAGATGGGAGATGAAGCTCATGCACACATTGAGACCTTTGTATCCCTTTTTGGAGACCGGGCATGGAATGTCCAGGCAGAAGCCATCCGTGCCGTTGCCAAATGTGGAGAACTTGGGCAAATGTTTGCACCAGACGTGTGCCGCATGACCTATCAAGGGCTCACTCCAGAAGTCCAGGTGGCGGCTTGCGAGGCGTTGGCCCGGATGGGCACACGCGGTGCTTCGTTCAGAGAAGAGGTGCAGCAATTGGAGAATGAACAGGTGGAGCAGGTGGTGAAGGATGCAGCTCGTAAGGCCCTTGGATTCTTTGAGCGAGCAGCTTCATCCGCTCTTACTGACAAGGTGCCTGCCTTGACTGAAGAACCTTTGGAGGAGGAATGAGGTGCTCCAAAGCTGCCATCTGAACGATCTTCCAGTAGCGAGAAGTGAGTAAGTTGGAACAAAGAGAACTCACGTGGACATGCTTTGCAGTTAAAAAGTCATCTGAACGTGATGTGGGGGGGCACAAATTCGTCTTGCACATGAAGAAGACACTGACAGCCGATATGAGCTGACACAGTCGATGAGTAAAATCCACACAGATGCAGTTCCGGCCAGTGTTGCCGAGCTGACTAGCTGCTCTGAAATGTAACGCATACGCTTTGACGTTTCCTGTTCACTCCACATAAAGTAGTTTATCTACACGTACATACTTGCAAACGTATATAGTATATATATATATAAATAGGAATATATATATATAGGAATATATATATATAGGAATATATATATATATAGGAATATATATATATATATATTCATTCATTATATATATATACATTATAAATATAGTTATACATATACAGGTAGTATGTCTGCTGAGTTGGCATGTTCACTTTGGTGCTATTTTGACTGATCATTTGAGATCTGCCCAAACCTCGGCTCAGACCACTTGGCCACTCATTCACTTTTTGCCCATTGAAAAAGATCTAACTTAAGGATTAAACAGCTGACAAGAAACATAGAGAACTATGACACATCAAAACGCAATTGATTCAGAACTGATTAAGCAGCGATGTTACAGCAACATCTTGGTCTCTTGGTCCACTCAGAGGCAAGGCACCAAGTAGCTAAGAGATCTAAGAGCACGGAAAGCGCGAACTTCATCCATGGCCGTAAAGTGAGAAGCGAATGAGCCGAGAAGTTTTGCCATGGAGGATTTGAGCATCTTGGAGGAAGCTCACATATGTGCTCGCAGAGAGCACAATGAGCTGGCACCATTGAGGCGTGATACAAGGGCTGCACGCATGATTATGACATATTATGAAATATAATACATGATTATGACATTTTGAAATGAGTTCATATGGCATGTGAGTTATTGTTTGCATGTACATAGCTGGAATACAACTCATTTTGGGGGAGTGCTGATCTGGACAGATGATTGTCTTGACAGGCCAGAGGTCCTGCACTGCTACGGCGTTGATTTCCTTTCCAACAAGGAGGTGGTTTGCGAAGATGTATGATCGAATATGACCGATGTATAATCATAAGACATCAAGACTCTTGTGAGCCAAAACCGATTTTGCATGGGATTTTCCTTTACGTATCAAAGCATGAATGGAATGGACAACTGTAAGGTCTGTAAGGTCTGTAAGGTCTGTAAGGTCTGTAAGTGTTTAGTTTCACATTATCATTGTATCAGTTTGACCATTGGCAGGTGTTGGAGGTCTTCGAAAACTGGCAGCCCCAGCAGGTACGGCCAATGCTCGAAGCATCTCGAAGCATTTTAGTCCGCCACGGTTCCCTGGAAGCCCTTCCAGGTGGAATGGCTGGACGATTCCTCATGCAATGTGATCTTTGAAGATGGAGAGAATGTCCAAAAGGTGCACAGATTTATCGCCGAACTGTTTGCTGAACGGTGCAAGCTGAACGGCCGCTGTTTCGATCTTCAGGCCATTCGAGAATTGGCAGTTGGAGAGCCTCTTGGACTGTGGACAAGGACACAGCCTTTGTCGGTTGGCTCTAAGGACTGCCGTTGGAGTTTGCCACATTCCTCATAGCATAGCATTGGGTTCAGCGAATGATGCGAATGTATGGTCTGGTGAGGACACCAAGAAGGGAAAGGCTGGTTGAAGCAATGGGCGGATATGGTAGAAAAACGCTGCCTCATGGAGATCACCTTTATCATCATATTTACCCTCTGGTAATTTAACATAGCTATTGAAAATGGCCATTTATAGTGAGTTTTCCCATTAAAAATTGTGATTTTCCATAGTTATGTTAGTTTACCAGAGGGTAGATATATTTAGACATTCTGAATCATTTTTGATAATCTGGCAACTGGAAGAAAAACAACGGTTTTGTTGGAAGGCTCGACGAGGGGGTCTAAAGAAGTTTTGCCTGGAACCGAGAGCTTTCTCTCAAAGTTCTGTTGATTCAAGCAGACCATTGCACAATATCACGCATACCCGGCATATCCTCAATGCACCCATGCACACACACATTTGCTTATAAGAGCCAATCATATGCACTTTGTTGCGATTACAAAAATGCTCTTGCATGATATGCTTCAAAAGATATGCATTGGTCATGCTAAGGCCTACAACTCAGAGTTGCCTCTGAGGCGGGCGAATGGCACTTCAATGGAGCAAATAGTGATAATAGTGTGGAGTGTCGTATGCAATGCAATGTGTAACATTCATATTTATATACATATGATTCTATATGCACAGATGCATATATTATACATGTTTGCAAGCCGATGTGTTTGTAGCAGCTAATGCGGTGTGAATCCCATTCCATTTCACTAATGTGGTATTCTCTTTAAGTGTTGGTTGCAATTTGTCGAAAAGGCTATAAAATACGAAAATACATTCCAATTCAGCAGTGGGAGGATTCTATCACTTCTCCTGCAAGGCTGATAGAAAGGACCCAACCCATTCTGGGCACACGGACTCAGTGTACTACGCTCATGTCAAGGCCAGACTTGTGAGTGATCTAAAGCGGCTACTGTCCTGTTGAATGCTTTTGGGCATAGCAAAAGGTCATGGGACTCCAGGACTTTGTTTCTTGTGTATGTTTTGTGTATCCCATGAGGAGCAGCAGGCGATGCAAAAGCAAGCCACTGAACTTCGACGCATGAAGAAACGTCAGAGGCAGATGACGCCTAGACACAAGGAGCTTTTCATGGCCACTGGAGGGATAATTCTTTACCATGTAGTGGGATGATGTGGGATGGAAGATTTACCAGATCATGTCCGACCTGGTTATTTCTTGGTTCTGGCTCCATCATTTCAGGAGGATCACATGCTATTGGTGTAAAACTGAGCTTCACCTCTGAGAAGTGCAGGACCAAACTCCCAGCAATGCTGAAGCCACAGCAGGCGCAGTGAGTTTTAAAGAACCCAGCAAAGGACGCAAAAGCTCCTCGCAAGAAGTAGAAACATCTAGAAAACTCTGGAATTTTGAAGATTTTGAAGTCACATCAAGTCACATCATGTTGATCTCTGATTAGTCACGTCATAGGGTATCCCGGCCTGGCCAACAACTTAGCGATATGCGACCAAGTACATCATTTTCTTGAGCCGATCGTGCTTCATGGGTTGTAGAGTGTTATAGTATGTTATAGTTTTCTTGTAATCGCATTAATGAATATTAATGATGTATTTTGATCTTAAAATTTTCCATGGACCCTCGGACAGGCCCTGAGCAAAGCGCTGCAGCTGAATCTTCCCAGGCTGCGCCTGAAGCTTCAAGTCCTGCCACGGATGCATCGAAGGCTCGATGCCTTCGATGCCCCCAGTTTCTGCGACGAACAACGCACCAGGAACATCCCAGACCTGTTGTGAGGTGCTTCATGGCTCAATCCTTACAACACGAAGTGACCTTAGCTCTTGCTTCATCAACTGAGAGGATATCTTTCAACAATCAACGCATCTCATTTCAATCGAACACTGCAGACGGCTTGTCAGGCTTGGCATCTTGTGGACTGCTGGATCCGTCCGCTGGCACGTTGAGTCATTCTCCACCAACCAATGGTGACAAAATGAGATAACCCTGTTTGATGCCAGGCTACTTTTCCTTAAAGCTCCAGCTCACAGCTCCCAAGGTGTGGAGTGGATTCTTTTCATATGTTTCATGGATATTTTTGGGAGTGTTGCGATTGTCATATGAAATGGCACAACATGATGTTCAAATTGTCCAACCGTTCAGCCAGCTTAAGGCTCGAGCAAAGCCTCGGACACAGTGCCAGCCAGGAGCATAAGATTCAAGACAGGTGGGAGTCAACGCCACATCATGCCACATTCCGATCACTGAGGCCCTGGACCTCAAGACGAGCCTGAAACGTGCAGAGGTCAGAGCTCAGCTGTTGATTCCCCATTTGCGGTGTGAAATTGCGTCGGCAGGCAGAGTATGCAGCAGTGCCGTGCCCGGGAAAGCCGTTCCTTTTTGTGTTTGGGTAACTGTTGGTTTGAACTGCTGCCATCTGCTAACACCCTTGAGGTGCTGAACCCCGCATCCGGTAAGGCTCCTGCCGTTTGGAGCTTCGATTGATCGATGCTGTGCCACTGATATTCATTATATCAGTCTGCGCTGCTGGAACGCTAAGGCAATGGCAAAGGCAGCCGCAGATCGCGGCCGTACGCAACGAGTAGCATGTAAACAAAGAGAGGCCCGCCACAAACTGGCCATGTCTTGCCACGTTGATGTTTGCTTTAGACTCTAGACCAATGACAGGGCACTCCAGGGCGTCCTGGTGGCAGAGATGCCACGCCCGGGAGAGCAGGCGCCGATGCAATCCTCAACTGACAGCGATGCCAGTTGAGGAGATTGTTGTCACATTGGCTTTTTCAGGGCAGCAGAGAGGAAAAAAGAGGAGGCGGGGTAGGAAGCTGTTTGTCTGAACGTTCAACTTTGCGGACGCATAAGGATTGCATCAGAGCCACCTAGATTCCAGGGTGATTTTTGAACTCTTTGACGCATTTTAGATTGAAGTGCTGCAGGGTCCTACAGAATTCATGTTGTGAGGCCAGTGGAGCAGGAGCCAAGACCAGTGAGTGAGGCAGCTGCGTTTGAGATGGACCAACCTGTGGGGTGGCATGTGGCCATGGGTCCAAATCAAGCCCCTGAAAACCAGAGATTTTGCTCAATGTTTAGACATCAAACATCACAAAACACCCACAACAATCTCAGTTTGTTTTTTTTGAGGGGATAACCATGGATAATCTGGGTAAGTGTTTAAATCAATCTCGACTGACACAATGACACACCCATCTGATCTGGTAGGCGGCGCCACCGCAGCGAAAGGCTGAGCTCCTCCCAGAGGTTGAAGCCTTCCTAAAGAAGCATGGAGTGAGATGCAAGAGGCTGGCTGAGTTTTCTTGCGACAGGACAGGACCTGGAGAAAACTCCAAGAAGACTGGCACAATTGTATACAATTGTACACAATTGTGGTGTTGTGGGGTCATTTGATTTGTGAGTCACAAGTGAGGTATGTACTGCAGCGATCCTTCCGGTCCATCAAATATGCGTTTCTTGGCAGCAAAGACTGCTTGATTCCTTGGTTTAACAAAGTTTAACATGGTTTAACACATTTTTCTTGGAATCTGGATGTCAAACCGGACAAGGCCAAGCAGTTGTGGGCTGAACGCCGTGAGTATATTAATATATTACTCGTATCTATTTTGAGACACGCCCCTGTGTCTTTGAGGCAGCAAGAAGCTGCAAAGACGAAAGCAATGGCCCAGAAACAGAGCAATGCTGAGAAGGTCCAAGTGGAAAACATCAAGCCAGTCGAAGCTGCGAAGAATGAGGGTGAGTCTGCCTGGGATCAATACATTGAGGTGAACAAGTCCTTCACATCTCATGGGGTGTTTATGCAGACAGTGGCTTGGAAAGTGGAGGGACGACGTGTGCTGAGCGTTGTGCCTCATCCACAGATGACAGATATAGAGAAAGTGGCAAAGGCTGTACAGAAGCCTGTTGCCTCGGTGGTTCAATGCAAGCTGAAAGACATCTCTCAGGAAACAGGTTTTCCTGTTTTTGTCTGCCCACCCTTTGGATATCCGCCAGATGCTGATGGCCGACCACCGCTGCTTTTAGTGGATAGCTCTGTTGCAGATCTCAAGAAGCCCCTCTTGTTCGACTGCGGTCTAACTGGTCTTTGCATTACAGTCAGCGAGTTTTTGCGCAGCACGCGTGCAGCATGCATAGAGAACCTGGCACGGCCGAATCCACGGCGGAAGGTTCTGAACGACCCAAAGCCGGAGGGCACAGTGCGGGCTGCGCCTTCGGAGCTTGGTGCTCTGACCCAACTCGGTGAGGTTAAAAGCTCCATGACTTCACCAGCGTCTGGTGCAGCCTCTCCTGAACCTGCTCCAGAGCCAGCTCCGATCACGGGAGATCGTTCCGATCTCATGGAGCATTGAGAATGCAGCTAATGGCCAGCGTGGTAGCGTCTGAGCAGTTGGCGAAAAGTTCAGCGCATTGGTCAACGAGAAATTATCAACACAGCAGGTGCACCTTTTGCTTCTTTCTGCTCGGGGACCTGCCACGGTGCCAATGCTGTGCTTTTGCAGCCGCCACAATGGCTCACAGAGATCAACATGTAGATCAACATGCGGATCATGTAGTGCCTGGAAAAAGTATGAAAAAGTATAAATTTGACGAGTGGCAGCGATTGCAGTAGCAGTTGATAGAGCAATAAATAGTAGCGCACGCCCATAAGCTTTCTGTTCTTCTAGTTACTCCTTCACAAAAAAAAATCAAAAAACAACAAACACCCAAGGTCATTTCAACTTATCTGGTTCACTCTTTTAGTCTGAAGAAGCAGCAAGTTTGAAGTTTAGGGGCGGGGTATGGCACAGCCTTGAACCTTTCAAGTTTGCAAGCTTTGTTCGTCCTATGGCAGCATATGGCAGCGTCAGCCTCTCCTTTAGTCAGGACCACTTTGTTCGTCTTATTTGAAGGAGGTGATGCGTGGTAGCAACGTTCGTGCCTTTGATGACTTTACCAACAAGGTCAAAGGTTTCAGCCAGGTCCTCAGGGATCAGGATCTATCAGGGACTCTGTTTAGTTCATTCCAAAAACCTGTTCAATATTGTTCAATGAAAGACCAAGGCTTCAATCACCAGCTTTTGATTTTCGACCTGATGCGCTTCTTAGGTAGAGGTGCAACTGCCAATGGGCCCGAAGAGGCACATTGCTATGCCAAGCTATCAGCTATCTTCTATAGATGCCAACCTTATAGTTTCCGCTAGATTGACAGGCATTTGGACTTTGTGTAGCAACCAACATCAACCAACAACCTCTTTCAAACCTCATCAAGCAAAGTATTGTTTGCTTCTACAAGTGGAACTCGTGATGCACAGGCTGATCCAGAGGCTCAGACAGCGGCAGCAACCGGACAGACACCTGCGAATGGCTCGTGGATCTGGCATCGTTTTGTTATGTTTGCCCATATCTGGAGGATGGTTAGGCGATACAACGATTGCTGTATAATATACATATATATATACATATCATTCCACATCATTACACATCCACGAGCCAAAATGGAGTTTAAAATAGTTTAAACACATGAAGACTGAGCTGCTGTGAGTCGACAAAGTCGGAAAGTCTGGGAATGCACCTTGGTGCATCAAAACATATCAAACCCCTGCTGCACGGAGAGTCCTATCGGTCCCTAAAATATGACCCATCCCCAAATATGGATGTTCTCAAATGTTCTCCATCATTTGGATTACACCCGGTGGTTGGTTTATGACTGGCTATAGTCGGACGCACCCACATGGCTATAGTCAACTATCAGTTCAGAGATGCACCACATGATCATTTCAAAGTTGAATCTTTATTTGAGATACAGCCATTATGGATGCCATCATAAATCCATACAAATCCATACAAATCCATATAAATCCATACAAATCCATACAAATCCATATTATTCTCTACATATATCACATATATCACATATATCACATATATATATAATATAATTGATTAATTAATTAATTATATATATATATATATTATATATATATATTACTATATACATTATACATATAATATATTTGAAAAATCAAATTCCGTAGAAATCCATCACTGTACATCGCTCCAAATTTCCGACCGGTGGGATGACCCAGTGCCAGGTGGTTTGCGAAGCTCAGCAGCGCCCTACCCAGCGTGGCCGAGGCGGCAGCTGCCGCCAGTGTGGGGAACTCGATGGAACTCGGGGATCTCATGGGAGTAAAAAAGTAAGAAGTATGACTAAGCATATACTGTATATATATATATTACTGATATGTATTGATATTACTGATATTATTATTATTTATAAATATATTGTTGAAGTAATAATCAATATCCTATCATGTTTCCAGTTTTTTCAGAGTAAACCATCCATGTTTGGTAGTCAAGTGTCACAGTTTATGGGATCATCCAAAATGGACAAACGTTGTCGGGTCGACTAAGGCAGGAGATCTGAATGCGTTGTCCAAAGCGGCGTCCAATGCGCAGCAGGGCTTTCAGCAGGGCATCACTGACTTCACTGGAAAAGCCAAGGCGGTCAGATGACAAGATCTTTGATCACTAAGCAAGAAATTTCTGCATCGTGGCCAGAACGGTGAGATGCATAGAAATGAGAAAACCAGAAACCCGAGAAAACCGAGAAAACCGAAAAAGCCGAGAAATGCGGCCAACAGTAGTGCTAGTCTCCTCAGCATTTTCCTGCTCTCGCGGTTTTTGCGTTTTCGCGGTTTTCGCGTTTTCGCGGTTTTCGCGATTCTCGCGGTTTTCGTGGTTTTTGTGTTTTTCGCGGTTTTCGTAGTTTTCGTGTTTCGCGGTCTTCGCAGTTTTCGTTTTTTGACTGTTTGCGCCGTTCTTGTTGTTTTTGCATTTCCGCCTTTGATGTTTCCATGCCATATTATTTTCAAACAGAAATCTAAATAGAGAAGTGCCGGTTTCCTTGTAATTACAGTAGCCTCTTGCAGACTTGCAAGCGCGCACACACACACATGCACACTTCCACTACATGTCTCTTACCTTTACATACAATCAAATACATACACACATAATATACGTGCTACACTTACATGTTCATGTACTTGCATTTTGTGCACACATCAACCCCTCCATCCGCCCATACATCAACACATAGATACATAGATACAAAAATATACGGTACACAGATACAAAAGTGCATACATAGGCAGAAAGATAGATACAAACACATATTTCGAACACATCACAGTACAATCCAATGCAATACAATACAAAGGAGTACAGTACAATACAGCACAATACAAGACAAACAATACGCAACGTCACGTTTTTACTCTACAACACATAACACATACGGACAAACACGCAGTACATTATGTTGATTTTGTTTCCTTCCCTTTCCTTAGATTACCTGCATTGCATTGCATCATGCTACATTATACTACATTACGTTGCATTACAGTACATTTCACTGCATTACAATCCATTGCGTTACACTACGCTGCATTGCAATGATGTAATTCCAAGCGTACTAGCAGGAACGCATACATAGATACATACATAGAAATATGGATGCATACATAGATACACTGATACTAGCATAGACATATCTGCACACACACACACATATGGCAAACATCCTTACACACACACACACGCACGCACACATAGATACCGCGATTCATAGACGCATAAGTACACAAGATGTTACGACGTGTTACACTGCATTTCATATACGTAGATCATATGATAACCGTAGATACATCGGTACATGCATGTTTTCGTTGTGTTCACCGTCCGAGTCATGGCAACGCATTGCATCATGTTCATACATAGAGACATTCATAGATACATAGAGACATACATAGATACATAGAGACATACCTAGAGACATACATAGAGACATACATAGTTGTACACATGCATAGATACATACACAAATACATCCCATTTCGTTGCGCGGCATTACATTTTATATTCCGTGACGCCACACGACACCGCAATGCTGGATTTCACATTATACACGCTCATCCATGCATCCAAACACACTCACACATACGTTGCATTACATACATAAATGTGTATGTATGTATATTACTGTACATATATATATATGTACATATTAGTTGAAATTACAAGGGACTACATCACATGCATCATATTACAACGTGCTACACCAGCTGCATAAGTAGATATAAAGATCGATGCAAAGAGAGGCACATGCACACATACATCCGTACATGCATGCACACGTGCCTACAGGCATAAATACAGTCCGTTAAGTTACATTGTGTTGCCACTTTTACTTCAGCTTGCATTGCAATGCACCGCCTCGATACATACAAACAAACAAAGATGCCAGCATAGATGAGAACATAAATGCAGACTACAGAAATATGCACAAATATGTTCGTCAAAATTTTGTTTAAAAGACGGATGCATAACAAGAACACTAAATACAGGTAGATTGGATGACAGAAAATTAAAGGTTGGGAAGGATTAGGCAAGCGATAGAGGAAATAAAAGGAAATAAAAGGAAATATAGGTAGGTAGATAGATAGATAGATAGATAGATGGATAGATAGATAGATAGATAGACAGACAGATAGATAGATAGATATATAGATAGATCGGTAGGTAGATGGGTACGTAGGTAGGTAAGTAGATAGATAAGGCGAAGATAGGTGATATACAGATGGATGGGTAGATAGATAGACGGCTTGGTAGATCGATCGGTAGATAGACAGAGAGATGACAAGAAAGAGAGAGAGAGAGAGACGGATAGATGCATAGATACATAGACACATAGCTACGCAGATACATAGATACATAGATTCATAGATACATAAATATTCATAAATACATAGATCCATAGTTTAGATACATAGCTTAGATACATAGCTGAGATACATAGCTGAGATACATAGCTTAGATACATAGCTTACATAGATAGATGGATGGATGGATGGATGGCTGGATGGATGGATGGATGGATGGATTTGATAGATGGGATAGATTGGACAGATTAGATAGATTAGATAGATTAGATAGATAGATCAGATAGATTAGGTGAATGGATGGATGGATGGATGGATGGATGGATGGATGGATGGGCGGACGGACGGACGGATGGATGGATGGATGGATGGATACGTAGGTAGGTAGGTAGGTAGGGAGGTAGGGAGGTAGGGCTAGAATATGCTAGAATGAAATATAGATTCTATAGATAGATACCGTAAAAAAATCTTTACATCACATCACATGAACCTGCATTCCACTACTCATCCCGTTGAAATCTGTATGTAGCTGTCCAGCTTTCGCGCTTTCGCGTTTTCGTGTTTTCGCGTTCTCGCGTTTGCCTGGCCATTTTCGCGTTTTCGTGTTTTCGCGTTTTCGTGCGGAAATCCCGTGCACCACCAGGGCCGAGACACACACACATTTCCTGCACAGTTTGATCAGCATGGACCAATATAGACCACTTGATTTTTCAGACCTTGATCCATCTTGATCCTCCCTTTCCAGTCAAAGTTGGTTTCAAGCCTTTCTGACGAGGGAATTGCTAAGCAAGCTTCAACAACCATTTCGGAGAATGCCATCTCGAGAGAAAGGCTGGAGATCGATCTTTGATGATTCTTACTAGTGTGATTTCCTTCGAGTGCACTAGACTTAGTTGCAATCAAGATATACGGCGGTGATCGACGTGTAAGTTGAAGGTGGATGATGTTTTTTGGCGGTGCCTTGCTGGGCTGCTTTCTGATGAGTGTCTTGTCAAATTGATCTTTCGTTTTTTTAGGTTTTGAAAGTTGTTGATACAACCGTATGACGCTTTGCGATTGAGCAACCAGCAACACAGCAGCGACGACTGCAAGCCAATTCTGAGGCCTCGCCTTTTTCTTTTTGCCCGTCCCTTAGATTGCTGAACACCAAGCAGGTTCGCAAGCCTTCTAAACATAAGGTGCAAGACTTCAGAACCAACCAAGATGCACCCAGCAGGCTAATGTACATGAAGCATGCCATTACGCGCATTCATTCATAGAGTATGCATAATATTTAAACCTACTCTCACTTGAGAAGCACACTTACACAAACATTCTTGTGACAACATATCGGCGCACAGCGTACAGCAGCAAGCGAACTTGCACGCAGCAGAATGCTGTCTGTACACTGCACACTTTCCACTGGACTCAACTGTCTGTACACTGCACACTTTCCACTGGACTCAACATCATGCCTACGCGTCAGGGCCTTTTAGGTTCTTAGATTGTACGCAGACATATAGATCATATTGCATATAATCCTTTGCAGACCAAGGCCTATGGTAGTTCTGGCTCCGCAGAAGTTTGCCTTGCTTTTCACGCTCGGCAGGGGACTTGGTATACTTGGTGCAGAGGCATATCTTATCAATTCTTATCATATCTTGTATGTGGATGTATCTGGCATGGCAATTCCTGTGAGTCTTACAGCAGACTGCCCTTTGTTGAGGCTCTTTGTGCTTCCTTGGCAGCTTTTCAGCTCTTCGAGGACATTCAGCTTTCTTGAGGCTGGACACGGCTGGACGTCAAGCTTCCAATGGTTTGCCATGATGACAGCTACTGTTATCCAGGTATGACATGGTATGACATGGTATGACAATAGTATCAGCAAACATCAGAAAGCACTAGCAGAGTAGCAATCATCATGCTTCTATGATCACAGGATGTTGTGTGCCCAGCTGCTTAGCTCAGCAGGCATCTGTTGTCGCGCAGTCGTTTGATATTTACTGCGACCTATGCCATGTCGATGGCCTGGGACCTAGAATCTTATTGAACATTCAGCTCGCAGACATCACAGACATCACTGGTCAAAGGTTGGAACCTTGTGGGCATCTTTGATCTACAGGTTGGGACTTGAGACAGTTAAAATTGCTTGCGGATGCTTGAATGAGAGAGAATCGAAGCACATTCAATTCTGCTGCAGCATGAAAGGTCGTACCTGTTGGCCATTGCCTTCTCTGCAGTGCAGGCGCGGCCCGTTGAAGTCGGTAGGGAATCCAATGGGCTCAGCTACCGTGGCGGTGCAGGTCAGCGCCCTCTCGTCTGGCTCACAGACGTTTGGTGACGTTTTGTGCATAGCTTTTCGAAACAACAAAAAGCTTCGAAAGTCTGAGACCCAGCAGTTTGATCGTGCTGACACCAGGTGGTTTCTCGTTTCCTACATTCCAGGTGGAAGGCCATTGTGATGCAGAGAGAGAGAGAGAGAGATAGATAGAGAGAGAGAGCTGAGAAACATGCTTGCCACGTACATTTGCACACATGCATTTTAGATCATTTTAGAATCATTTTAGGTATTTTAAGGTGATGGTTGGTGATTCCAGTCGCTTTCAAGGGACACTGGTGCACCAGGCGAGCGCTGGGATTTGTGACGAACATGGCATGGAGGCTCGTGTTCTCATGTGTTCTCTGTTGAAATATTCTGCAAAGTCTGCCCAACCATGCTCAGGATATGCAAAGGATGTTGCAAATGTGCAAGTGCGAGTCTCAGGGCCTTTTTTTGCGCAACTCTAACTGCCGGTAACACTGTGGATGACAAGCTTGGTGCAAAGCAACCGAGGCAAAGGTTCCTTGCTGCCGTTCTGATGAGATGCGAGACACGACGCCATATGGCCACCGGCAAAAAAGATAAAGTGCTTCACATGTCATGCCATGCCATGTCATGTCATGCCAGTTGAAGGACAATACATCCCTTGCAGATTGCCGTTATGAACAATCACAGTTTCGATGCGTTTGCAGCTCAAATCAGAGCGCTTGTTTTGGGTTGGATTTGCCGACTTTGAACCATGGAGAGCGTGACCCTTTGGATCGCCCTATCTCCCCAGCAATTTGCCGACCTGAACAGTGGGAAAGAAGTGCAGCCTGATGAATACTCGCAGCGATTTGGTCTTCGAACATCGGCTGTTGAGGCAGTGGATCGAGCTCAGTACTTCATGGATTGGACACCTCATGGGCTGAAAGGAGAGCATCACCAGAAGCAGTTCACCGTGTTGCAGGTGGAGATCTCGGCCTTGGGATACCTACAGAAGATGGAAGCCGGAATCCTGGCGAAGACCAAGCCAGGAGAGTACAGGTGGTATGGCAATTTGAAGCAGGAGGAACGAGATGATCAAGGGAGAGTTCTCTACCGCTTCAGTGACACGGCTGCCGAAATCATTTGAGATATTTGAGGGATCTTCATGACCCCAAAATGGTGCCACAAATTCGATCTGATGCAGAACAAGGTCACTTCTTCTCAAGAAGTTTCACACGTGTGAAAGGCCTATGAACTTTGAAGCGGAGCATTGATTGTTGCTCACTGATATGGGAAAACGAGCCCCTTGCTTTGTTGCTGTGCAAGACACTTGCGTGTGTGTGTGTGTGTTCAGCAGTGTGTGTCTCGGCCACGATGATGAGAGCAGGATTTCAGCACGAAAACGCGAAAACGGAAAGGAAAACGCAACGCGAAGAAAACACAACTACAAACCGATTTCAAGAAATGTTGAGGGATGAAAAAGCTGCAACGTGCAGAAGAGATGATCGTCCCCTGATGCAATGGTACCTCAATATGATATGTACTGCAATAGCTGTCTTGTGCTGTGGCCTCATGCAACGCAGTAAAGAGATGTAAAGAATATAGTGACAGTGAAAACAATTTCATGTATGTGATGTAGTACCCATCCACAGCATCCATCTATCTACTGTCTTTCTACTGCGTAGGGTATCTAGTCTAATCTAATCTTAGTCTTAATCTCACAGTCTCTAATCTAATCTAATTTTATCTTACCTACCCATCCAATCTATCGATCTAACCTATCGATCCAATCTAATCTAATCTAATCCAATCTAATCGATTATGATCTTGTCATCTGGTCTATCTCATCTTGGTTTATCTCATCTAATCCAAATCAATCAAATCCTATCCTATCCTATCCATCTGTCTAATCTATCCAATTAAATCGAATCTAATCGAATCTAATCGAATCTAATCGAATCTTATCTAGTCTAATCTCATCTATCCAATCTATCAATCTATCAATCTATCAATCTATCAATCTATCAATCTATCTATGTATCTATCTATCTATTTATCTATCTATCGATCTATCTATCTATCTATCTATCTATATTTCTATCTATCTATCTATCGATCTATCTATCTATCTATCTATCTATCTATCTATCTATCTATCTATCTATCTATCTATCTATCTACGTATCTATCTACTTACCTATCTAATCTATCAAATCTATTTATCTATATTTATCTATACTTATCTATATTTATCTACATATATATATATATATTTATCATTATTTATCTATATTTATCTATATTTGTCTATATTTATCTATATTTTTCTATATTTATGTAGCTATATTTATCTATATTTATCTATCTATAATCCATATAGAATGGGCTAGCGCCCTGGTGCCGCCGACCCCCCCTATTTGGGGGGTCCTGTAGAAATATGGAGAGATAGATAGATAGATGGATGGATGGATGGATGGATGGATGGTGGCTTAAACTGTCTGCCCACTGATGCTCAGGAAAGACAAATAATATGTTGCTAACGGCAGGCTGGACCGCCCAGAAGAAGCGATGGATGTGGCCTTGGGGCAGCTTTTGCCTGCGGGGTTGGGCGTTCCGAGAAGCTTTTGCAAAGTTTTAAGGGTTTTAAGCCTTTTAAGGGTTTTAAGGGTTTAAGGGCTGGGCTTGGACGCCCATAAGAAGCCATTGATGTGGCCTTGGGGTGCCTGTTGGCTGCGGGATGAGGCATGCCAAGAGAATGTTTAAGCGTTTGAAGGGTTTGAAGCGTGTAACGCCTGGCGAACGGCAGGCTGGACCGCCCAGAAGAAGCGATGGATGTGGCCTTGGGGTAGCTTTTGCCTGCGCAACCCCTGGCGAACGGCAGGCTGGACCGCCCAGAAGAAGCGATGGATGTGACCTAGAGAGGGCCGTGGAGGCAAACGGCAGGCTGATCTGATCGAAGCTGCCGCGAAGCATTGAAGCATTTGAAGCTAAGAAAGACAAGTTCCACACCTGCGGTGGTCCCAGGCGCCGCCCCTGCCTTGGCGAAGGCCGGGGTCGGCAGATTTATCTATCTATATTTATCTATCTATATCTTTATCTATCAATTTATATCTATATCTATCTCTATCTCTATCTATCTCTATCTATCTATACCTATCTATATCTATCTATATCTACCTCTATCTATCTCTATCTATCTATATCTATCTAAATCTATCTAAATCTATCTCTATCTATCTATTTCTATCTATCTATATCTATCTATATCTATCTGTATCTATCTATATCTCTATCTATATCTCTATCTATATCTCTATCTATATCTCTATCTATATCTCTATCTATATCTCTATCTATATCTCTATCTATATCTCTATCTATATCTTTATCTATATCTCGATCGATATCTCTATCGATATCTCGATCGATATCTCTATCGATATCTCTATCTATATCTCTATCTATATCTCTATCTATATCTCTATCTATATCTCTATCTATATCTCTATCTATATCTCTATCTATATCTCTATCTATATCTCTATCTATATCTCTATCTATCTATCCATCTATCTATCTATCTATCTGTCTATCTGTCTATCTGTCTATCTGTCTATCTATCTATCCTACCCTATCCCATCCCATCCGATCCGATCCGATCCTATCCTATCTTATCCTATCTTATCTTATTATCTTATCTATCTATCTATCTATCTATCTAACTGACTAACTAGCTAACTAACTGACTGACTAACTAACTAACTAACTACCTAACTACCTAATCTATCTACTATCTATCTAAAACAAAGGCAAAAAACAACGCGCCCTGAAAACGCTTCCGTCTGGACTTGTGAGAAGACACGGCAAGACACTTTTTATTCAGTTGCGACAGGAACATGAACTTGGATGCTGCCCCAATGCCAGTTTTTGGCAACGACTTTGCAGCTGCTTTGCAGCTTTATTGGCTCCATATCATGTTTTCATTTGCTTTCTAGCTCGGTAAAAGTTGCATTGAGCAAACACGCGCATTTGATCGATGTTGATTGCCAGTTGTCAGGCTGCATTTTTTCTCACAGCACGTTCCACCAAGTAGATAGAATCACCCAACAAAAAAATCATCCAGTTTCATGCAGCTTTGGATGCCTTGACCAGCAGTGTGCTGAATTTGCAAGGCTGGGATGTTCGTGTTCGAACTTTGCGGTTTTCATATGCATATTTTTCCTTTCATAGTTGCTGGCATTTTTTTGTTCCCGATACCTTGCTGGTTTTTTGTGATAAACCGGCAGGTATGGGTCCTTGCCAGGACTTTGTTTTCAGGCCAAAACCACACATTTGTCAAAGTCGCAGTTTGTGTTGGACACATAGTGTTTTCTTTGTCTTGGGTTGTTCGGTGCTGAATGTTGCCGCAGTTTATCAAGCACACATTTCAAGCTAGCAGATAATCCACGTAACATGTTTTGATATGTTTTGATCAAACCTTCAGATAAAATCAGATAAATATGGTTCACTTTTGCAATTGTTGTTTCAAAATTGGAAACTAGGAACAAATGTTTCGATGTTGCTTAAATGATAGTTTTGCAAACACCGCGGAAATTTGCATTGAATAGCTGGGCATGGCTGCCGCATGGATTGTCCTTGTCCTGGCAGGCCAAAGGGTTTTTTCCTTTTGAACCATGGGCATAGTTTTTGCGTGTTTTTGCATCAAGATGTCATGATGATGATGACATGTTGGCCACCACAGATGTTTCGGACCTGGATGAGGCAACGTCTTGGATTTGGGCGAGGTCATAGATGAGAGATTGATGAGAGTAACGGTAGTTGAAACATGTTGGATTACCATAGACACTGACGTGACAACTCCAACTGACAGCACTGCGCAGCATTGACATGGCACTGCAAAATACTGCAAACATACCTGGTACATGAGGCGAACTCAGCGTACCCAGCATTTCCTTTGAGGACGAAAGGACGTGCGCCCAATGCATCAGGTGAATCTATTTGTTGTCAACCAGATCTTCATGCTGACCAGGTTTCATTGTAGATGCAAATGGAAGTCGTGTTCGACTGAAGTGCGTGAATTGGCCAGATCCTTGATTTCATGCTGAGAGGGACAGCACGGGACAACAATATCATCAGATCAGATTCGAGCACATAACTGACTGGCATTGTTCTTCCATGCTCCCAAAATTCCGAGGTATGGAGCGCATTTGCCACAGATGGTAGCAAATGGCTTGGACCGAGTGGGACCAGGATTCACCAGTACATCAAGTCGTCCGCGCACTCTGAATCTCAGTTTTGTCGACGGAAAGGACAGATAGCGAAAACCATCTCCGAGTCGGGTTTCAATTGACCTGAACTCAGCTGGAAGGGGTTGCTGTTGTTGACAGAGCTGTTGCAGTTGCTGGTTAAACCTGTAAGACCTGCAGTTCAAGGTGTTAGGCTGCCCTTCAGCCTAGATGGTGTGATTGGCAATTTCTCTCGGGTCCCTGACCCAAAGGCGAGGGTTGCCACTGAGCAATTGAGATTTCGAACATGCTAGTGGCAATGCAGAAGTAGAAACATTACCCTTAATTATCCTTAATTAACCATCAACACACAGAGGTTTCACAAGTATGAGCCCTGCTCATGATGGTGAGTAGCAGGTTTCTTTGGCCGCTTGCCCAGAATTGCAGGAGCGCAGCTTGAAACAATCCCTGTATGAGTCAGAACTATGTACTGTAATTATCAGTATTACCCCCTCCACAATGGAGGGTTTAACATGGTTTAACATTATCTAAATTTAACACGTATGAATTTGAGGTTTCTAGTGGCGCATGCGCGATGCTTGACAGTTAGGTTGACGGAGAGAGCGACGGTGAGGTTGACGGGTTCTCTTTTTGTGACAGTGAGGTTGACGGAGAGGTCGACGGTGAGGTTGACGGCTTGTTTTGGACGAAATATTGAAATAAGGCTTATTTCATTAAAATATGCCTTATTTTGTCGTGACGGACACCTTGACGGACACTTTGACGGACCGTCAACTTCACCGTCGACCTTTCCGTCAAACTCACCATCATGAAACACGGATCCGTCAAACTCACCGTCAAGGTCACCGTCACATGCAACCGTCAAGTTTTTGAGGTGTGACTAGAGCATACGTTTCAAATTTGTTTAACACATGTTTAACACATCGTTTAACACATGTTTAACACATGTTTAGCACATTTCAAAGGTGAAAAATCCACCGTTTTGTGGGTCCATCACTCCCCCCAGTGTGTCCCCTTTTTGCTGCAGCTGACAGCAGAAATTCGGACGTGCCAGGACCGCTCTCCTCTGGAGGTCTTCGATGCAACGGTGGACCAGCTCACCCAGCATGGATTGATGGTCAGCCGCGCCGACTCGCTGTGTCCATGGGGTCCGTTGTCTGAAAATTGGGTACCAATACCAGAAATTTAAGGATGGTTAATGAATGATATGAATGTTAATCTGTTAATCATCATTTCTGCTGGTTCAGCTGGCTTATCTTCCATGGTCAAGACTTGGGCAAATTGCCCATGTTGGGGCAGGCATAGTCATCAATCCATTACTGTAATACACATTCATTGCATACGGTATACACCCATTAGAAGGGCTAGTAACGTGGAATGGATGACAATACCCCACATACCATGTTTTAACTTTTAACCTATGGGTTTTTTCACCACCAAAACTGGTATAGATTAGCCATGATTGGCCTATAGCTGGACATTATTATACCCCAATCAATCCAATGCCCCCATCATTCCCCAGTTATGATAGGTCCCCAAATGATAAATGGTCCAATACACCAGCGATTCTGAGGGAGTGTTCAATAGTAGGCTGATGGGATTGAATGCACATGATTTGTTAGTTCTGTAGAACTATCAAAAGCCACGGGAATTGAACAGATTCACACACCAAGAAAAAGTATGAAAAAGTGGATAAAGTTTGATAAAGTGGATTTCACCAGGAAAGATGGGGTAGCATGGCAAGTGCACTTTGTCTTTCTGAAGCTTCGCTGCGTTTGGGCGATTTTGGTGTCACTGACCCATCCCATCCCTGTGGTTGAGGTCATTCTCAACAATCATGTCTCCACCAGCATGTGGTCTCCAGCTCAGCAGGATGATGCAAAAAACTACCTTGGTGATATGCATAGCTGAGGTGTTGCGACACCTCGGATGGAGAAGGTTTGTGGTATACCAAGAAATACCCGGAGGCCTCCTGGCTGAACGCTTTGAGCATGACACTCAGCTTGACAAGTCAGAAACCTGACACATTCCACGAACGTTGACAGAGCAGTCAAGACAAGTCGCCGAGGTCTGATGGCTGACCGCTACAAAGAGAATCCACTAGTCTGATGCTCAGCAGTTTTTGGGACATAGGCATCGGATGGCAAGAGTGGTTGACACATGTTGACACATGTTTTGAGGTGATGGGGTTTGATCTTCGCAATGAACTTCGCCCAGCAGGTCCTTTCTCAGGGATAGATGTTGGGATGTTGGGCGGTAAGCATCGACCCGTTCGGTGTGCAGGCAATGTTTGGCCACAATGGGGTGGCAACGAGAGCGCTACAGACTGGTGCAGCTGCCCAGTTGTTGCGCTGACACGACCTTTGTCGGTTGCAGATGTTTCTGTTTTCCGTCCAGGCCCAGGGCTGCAACCAAAGCTGCAACCACAATCTTGGAGAAGAACGTTGGGTGCTTGGGTGCCTACATAAAAAATCTGGCCTTTTTGTTCTTTCCGAATGTCTCTCGCAAAACCTGAACCCTAAGGAGAATATGCTCATTATCATTTCGGGCCTGTACTTTGGCATTTTCCTATGCCAGGCAAATCAGAGAGACAAACACAGCCCCAAACATCGCAGATGTGGCGATCCGAGTGTTCAACCGGTTTGAGTCTCGAACATCGCAGATGTGGAGGTTCCTACCTATCCCGTGCACTCCGAGGCCACGAGAAATTTGTCTCCATTTCTCCAGAGAATTGGACAGACATAGTACGTAGGGAATTTAAAGAAATTTTAAGGAATTTAAAAGAATTTTAAGGACTTTTAAGGACTTTTAAGGAATTTGAAAGACTTTTAAGGACTTTTAAGGACTTTTAAGGACTTTTAAGGAATTTTAAAGACTTTTAAGGACTTTTAAGCAATTTTAAGGACTTTTAAGGACTTTTAAGGACTTTTAAGGACTTTTAAGGACTTTTAAGGAATTTTAAGGACTTTTAAGGACTTTTAAGGAATTTAAAGGACTTTTAAGGACTCTAAGACCTTTAAGGATTTTTAAGGAATTTTAAAGACTTTTAAGGATTTTTAAGGACTTTAAAGGACTTTAAAGGAATTTTAAGGTTTTAAGGACTTTTAAGGACTTTTAAGGACTTTTAAGCGCTTTTAAGGACTTTTAAGGACTTTTAAAGACTTTTAAGGACTGGACTTTTAAGGAATTTTAAGGACTTTTAAGGACTTTTAAGGAATTTTAAGGACTTTTAAGGACTTTTAAGGACTTTTAAGGACTTTAAGGACTTTAAAGGACTTTTAAGGACTTTTTAAGGACTATTAAGGAATTTTAAGGATTTTTAAGGACTTTTAAGGACTTTTAAGGACTTTTAAGGACTTTAAGGACTTTTAAGGATTTTTAAGGAATTTTAAAGACTTTTAAGGACATAGTAAGGAATTTAAAGGAATTTTAATGAATTTTAGCTATTTTATTATTTTTATTTTTATTGTAGTTCTCACTGCATGTTTTTGACCATGCGTGCCTTTTGGTGCAAGGGCCACACGTGGTGCATTTTTGATTTTGGAGGGTGCGGTTGCTGCTGCCATGGGGTGCGGTGGATGTATTGCATCCTGTTGCTGGGGTCCATCCCAGGAGAATCTTAAGATCGACTATGATCGGCTTGTAAATGTACCATGGAATTGCACTGTATTATCATTCTTGATACCATTCATTGCAGGTACCATTCTTGAAAGGTCGTGTCGTGTACACAGCGCATGAGTGCCCCTGCGGAGTTTTTGACACTCAAGCCCTTTGGGAAGACCGGTGGAGTTGGCTCCTGCCAGGTACAACTGGTTCAATTTCCATTTGGTCGCCCGCGCGGGTATTGAGCCCTTTCCCGAGCAGCACAGTCAGCACAATTGATCATTCGCCATGCCTCCAACCCACCCTGAAACCCTCGAGGTTGTACGTTGGACTGATTGTAGCAGCCTTCCCGGCGTGCTGGTGTAGTTCTGAGACATTCAAGCGAAGTTGCCAAAACGATGCAAAACATGGACATTCCTTGCCGAGCCATTTTGAATTGATTTTGTGGGAGATGGACCATGGACAATATGGACATGATTGCAGTATATTGCAACGACTTTGCTACATCTTGTGGATTCTTGTGGCACATCTGAGCTCTCTTGTGTTTCTGCACCTGAGACGAGGTTGCTATTGTGTCTGATCCGCTACCTTGGTGGATTGCTCAGATGGCTGGAAGCATTCGAAGAGTTTCATAAAGCACGGGATTCAACGAGGTCGGAGAGGTGTCCTTCAACGATGCTCCGGCTGCCCTTGTAGAAGGTCCTCCAACGCTGCAGCCGAGGGATCCGGAGAATCTCTGCTTGCACTGGAGTGTTCTGTAGGCACTGTAGACAAAGTTTTAGGCCTGCCTTGCGATCCCATGGTCGGTTTCAACAGTTTATCACATCTTCTACATCTTATGTTCCATGAGTTTCTGAGAATGTTTCGTTTGGTCGTCGACTTTAATAGGTCGACCAGAGTCATTAAGCTCAACAGACCAGCATAGTTTTGTGAGGAATACGAGCAGCTGCAGGTAGGTTCATTTTTGTGTGTACTACACTGACACAAATATCATTGAGAGAATTGAGATTATCTGAGATAATTGAGAATGAACACAGAGACATATGACATCGATGTTCCAATCAATCCTTAACATTGCACAGCAAAATCAGGACTGGTGTAGCGAATCTTGCCGGAGTTGTACTACTGAAGGCTCCAATCCATGCGTCGAGTTTTCAGTCGCCGCTTTGCTTGCAACACTTTGCGCAGTTGGTCTGAAGATTATTCCTGGATTCATACAGCGATGTGACATTACGGGTGTCTACATTGGAGTGTTTTGTGCTGCATTCACGCCTGTGTGTGCTGCGGTTAGCATTTTTCTTTGGACAAGGGCTGCATTCCTTGCGCTCGCACACCGGGAAGAGACCAGAGCCTCTGCTGTGCTTGAGCTTATCAGTCTCCCACAAGCGCGGGAAGCGGGTGATGGCAATGGCATTGGCACTGGATCTCAGCAATTAGATGGCTGTGCTTTGCCACAGCATGCCCAGAGGTGCCGCACGAAGCGCTGCGTCTTGGCGATGATTTTGGTCCTCATGGCTTGCACATTGCTAGCTGTCTGGATTGAGTTCGGCAAATACGAGGCCTTTGCCAAAGAACTGGATTTCAGATGGGGATTCTTGCAGTCACCGTCCGGGGAGGCTGTGCCAGTTTGGTTGGGAGAGTTCGGCACCGACGTTCAGAATCTCTGGTGGAAGCATGTTTTGAGGTATATAGCCGACAATGAGGTGGATTTCGCTTACTGGAGTATCAATGGTGAGAAGTACAATGGAATAGGTGAGACCTTCGGCGGCAAACAGCATCTTTTGACTCCTATTTGATCTCTTATATACTATCTCTTCTAATATGGTAGTGATGTGTATTGAGCGTCTGAACACTTCTTCAGCCAAGAATTCACACCCCTTGAGCCTGAGGGTTTTGGAAACGGAAGGGATGCAGTATGATGTGGCTTCTCAGGAGCTTTGGCCTCTTCAATGCCGATTTTGCGACAGTTCAGCAGCCATGGAAATTGGAGCAATTACAAGCTGCAATGAAGGACGCAACGGACCCAGCTGCCATCATCACCGAATGAAACCAAGAGCGCTTCTCTATCTCTCTCTCTCCCTAAGTGGATTTGCACGGAGAATGAGGCTGCAATGAATCGCGCATCTTTGGCCACGACCATTCTGGTGTTGCAGACGGGATGTCCCAGGCTTTGCAGGAACCAGGTCCAATACACTCAGATCAACTTCCCCACATCGAGAGATGCTCTGGAGATCATTCGGCTTTGGAGGTAGCATTTGAATGTATTTGATGGAGTGGCTAAACGATATTAAACGATGCTGTTTGCCGAGTTCAAGCTGAGATTGAGTTCTTTGCGCTTTGCGCGGTTGCTCTGTGCTCTAGATGACACAGGAAAAGACGGTTCACTGCCAAAGTGTAGATGCATGCAAGATATGTGCAATGGACCAGACAACTTCATGATGTGGAAAAGGACACGTCTGAAGCCTGAAGCACCTCCTTCTTCGTGCTCTCCACCACCAAACGAGAAAGCCACTGCTAGCTGTTCGGAGCCAAAGAGGCAGACAGAATTAACAATGAAAGATAATGATGATAATGAACGCCCTTTCCTCAAAGTCCTCTCGGAAGAAAGGCGATGGAGACCCCGAAGCAGAAGCAGTCGGCGTGCTATGGCATGCTATGGCGTGCTTGTCGACGTCTTCGAAGTCGAGGTCAGAGAAAGTCATCTCCCAGGCGCAGACGAAGCGCGTCTCGAAAAATGTCAAGATACCGTCGACAGTTGCAGCAAGAGGAGGGGGCATCGATCGGCCAGAGGAGCAATGGGAACACTTGCAATGCCACGGAAGAGGGATGAAGCTGATGAAGCTCGGATGAAGCTGTTGCTCTATGTCAATGTTGCTCTCCAATTTCAACAGCTTGCTTTCAACCTGCGCCCAACCCCGGTGTACCTCTGCACACGATTACAGAGTCAGTCTCGTATAATTGGTGTGAACAATTTCAGCTCAGCACGATCACAAGCAACTTTCACTGCCTTCTACGTTGTCACATCACGGTTTCCCTTCCTGCGTCTCGCCACGCTCCGGTCTAGTCTCCTGCCTGAGTTCGAAAAAGGCCCGGATTGGAACACGTGAGATCTTGCAACCCCCAAAAATGCTGCTGCTCAATTGGGAAAGCTTGGTATGTGGTGAGATGGTACGAGTCGATTGAGCAATTGTGCATTCCTGATGCCTTTTTTAAAAATCGTGTTTGCTCTTTGCCCTGTTGGTGAACACGCGCCCCAGTAAGATTCAAAGTGCGAACCCTATGTAGATGTTGCACAACATGCTTGATTTTCAACGGCTTGCTGAACCCTACAGTAGGTAGGTCTCGCACCGAATGGACAGAACCAAACGGATCAATGAAAAACATGCAGCGAAGCCTATCTCCAAATTTCGGAGATTTCTGGAACCACTCACAGCCAGTGCGAGGATAAAGGTTAAAGGCTCTGAGGTTTGGATCACTGACTAGTCGCCAAGCCATGGTTTGAGTTTGGGAAAGGTTTGCAATCATGATTCTGAGGACCTGCTTCAGGGGTTTGGTCAAAACCCGTGGCAAGAGCAAACAAGCATGCAAGAGATTCAAGAGATCATCGCAGATGAGCTGTCAGCAAACAATAACAACTATGACATTTTGATGGCATCATTTCTGCACCAAGGAACCAAATTCATATCAATATCATGTAACGGCCCCGTATCTATTTAACGTTGGGATTCTTGCGCACTGGGCGAGACTGTTCGACCGGATGCAGCTTTGGCGTGCTTCAACATGAGACACACGAGCCAGCACGCTCGCAGGACAGCAACGCTGGCGAGTGCCTGGAAACTTGCATGCACAGCAAAGTAGGATCAGATATGCATAGTGGATCATAGTGGCCTAACCTGCAAAGCATGTTTGATGAATGTCCAACCTGCTGTGGGCGAGTGGTGCTTGGCACAGAGGCTCCATTTGCGCGTCATAGCAATGGTCGATGAATCTGGCTGAAACCTCAGAAAACAGCAACTGGTTGATTCCACGTAAGCCTTGTGTATCTTCGTATGCTGAACGCTCAATTGGTGGAAGATATGAGGTCGCTACTATGCCGGCTCTGGACTGCCTGATTTGGTCCCACCAGCATCTTGACAGTTGAAGGCCTTGATAGGACTTGGTGACATGACTGTCTGAGCCCAGTGTCACAATGCACCTCTTGGATTCTTGTCTAAGGAGCCCTCAGAGCAGGACCGGAATGCCTCGATGGACCTGTCGAAGCAACCAGCCCTGAACTTGGAGTTCTGGAGGATCATATTGAGTGGCTGTTGGTTTCTGAAAGTGCTTGGTCATGTTTGAAGAGGCAGTGAGATGTTTCTCTGTGACATTTTGGTAGGGTTGCAAATGTCCATCTGAATTCTGCCTCACACATCCTCACACGAGAACCAGCGGCACAAGGTCGAAAAACTCTTTCAGCTTCTGTACTTCGAGCTTCTCAAGCTGGACCGCCTTTCCCATCTTTTTGCTGCTTTCGCTTGTGTCAACCTGTCAGATTCTTTCAATTTGCACCACAGAGAAAGGAACGACGCAGTCTGCTCTGCATGAGATGTAATTAAGATCGAAATCTGTGAAGGACAAAAGTGGCTCGGAGAGAACCCTTCCTCTATCAGAGTACAGCATGGTGCAGGACTGACCCTTGCAACACTGGACTGTCCAAGGTTAGCAGTCCTGCTTGAAGGACACGCCCTGCCCGAACCGGATTCTTGCATTGACAGAGGAGCTTTGATTTTCAAGTAAAGGTAGTAGAGGGATGTAAAGGGACATTCTGAAGTGGCAGTAGCCAAAAAAGTCTACGGTTGGTCTGATTTGCGGAGTGAACTGCCATTTAGAATGGATTGAAGGACTGATGTTGTGTTTGGATTCATTTGCATGCATGTAACTGATTGTAACTGCATGTATCTCTACAATTCTCTATATGGGTGACGATGGTGATGCTGCTGGTGGGGCTGGCGACAGGAGGCCAAAAGATTAGCGGAGGAGGTGAACCAGCTGCACCTGAACACCACAGGCCCAAAAAGTGGAGAACTTTTGGCGCTTTTTGGCTCTTTGTTTATCTTTGTTTGTTTCGAGGCACTTCTGGGCTGTACTGGACACTTCACAAGTACCCAGAGGACCCTGCAATGACTCTGCGCTCCGAGAGAGACCATTTTGCAGAGGGTTCAGAGGGTACTCCATGAAGACTGCGTAATCTTTTTGCAAGGAGCACAGCTGGGCATGGCTTCTAAGCCACACACAGGACCGAGTAATGAGAAAAGCTGGGACTCCCAACCCTTCTCGGAATTGGATTGACGGATGGGTTTGCAGACAGAGAGATCGATGTCTGTCCCAAATTGTCATGTCAATATGCTCGCAATCTTGAGAAGCAATCAACATGTGTGAATAGCCTTAATGTGTTTTTGCACATGTTCATCAAATTGGGTTTGACCCCTTGCTTCGAATGCCAAGGTCTGGCAATACCTGGTTCGGCTGCAGACTGTTGCAGCCAGCTCCTTAATGGGGCCGGGATATGATGGGAGATTGGCATATAAAGCAAGCATCAGCTGGTCGATCATCGCGGAGGTTCCGGATGATGCTCCTTGCGTGTCGCCAAATCTTCGCACGATCCTGATGACTGCTGTATCAACATGGAAAAAGATCTTAGGAGAGGGGCTGAGAGTTGATTGATGTTGGTTGGATCACTTGGACAGATGTCCTAGACTCTTCGATGACTTCGATGCGACAGTTTTCAGGAGAACACTCAGCCTTGCTGTGGAACAGCATTGCTTTCGGAGTCCTTGGCGATGCGACTTGGACTTGGGATTCGAACAAAGATCCATCAGGAAAGGCAGTTTCCTTTTCATGGTGTCGAAGACACACCCCAGATGGGTAGAGCTTTTGACCAGGAGGTTTTTTGGGGATTCCCAAAAAGTCATTAACAAGAAAGTGTGAAAACATGTGAAAACGCAGAAACGAATGAAAAGTGGTATGGGCATAGGTTTCGACCAGGTCACCAGCTGCAGGTGACTTCCTGGCGAGATCTGGATGAGGAGGGCCAGGTTGCAGATGAGCCGGGAGGTGAACCTCCAAACGTCAGCTGGCAGGGCGACCCTGGCAGCCAACAGCACCATAAATGACGTGAACCAATATAAGTTTGTCCAAAAATAATGGGGAAACTGAAACAAAATAATAAAGCAATATAAAGCATCCAAAATCCCTGATTCATCATTTTCCCTATTAGATATGCAAATTTCTGGATATTATTGATTTTCACAGACAGACCCATACCGGCCCATACCCATATTTTTGCCATGGGGTCCACAAATTCACACATTTCTCTGAGGTCTGAAAATTTGATTTTTGGCAACATGTTTGTCTCCTCTTTGCAGAAATTTCTGGATTTTCATTCGCTCGAGCCTTGGTGTCTTGTGGTTGTTGGCTTCTGTTGGCTTCGCGGGATGTTGGAGATGCTGAACTCAGGAAGGAGCTCAGCTCTGCTGTTTACCAGGAGTTGCTGCATGCGAAACATGCCGAAGAACGAGGGATGTTCTATGCCTGTGCCTCTGTGGTTCCAAGATCCTCAGCATTTACTCAGCAGGTGGTGCAACAGTGAGACCAGATCTTCACAGAGCAATGTCACCATGTCATCTTACTCATCTTACTCGTCAATCCACTCGTCAATCCCGTCATCTCTTGCCATATCCAAGGATTTCAGTGCAGGCGAGGAACACAGGAAGAGCGAGGATGGCAGGGGTCTCGGGGTCTCGCTACTCCTAAACCATTCATCAGTTGCCATGTGGGCCTGGACCCAGCGGAGGGCTGTCACATATGGACGATTGTCCTCAGGTTCGTACTCTTCCTTTGAGTACTTAAGACGGCAGACCTTCAATGGTTGGGTCTTGGACAAGGTGCCGTGTTTTTGCCGTCAGAATGTAACCTGAACAAGGAAGCCTTTGAAAGATGATCATTTCTTCCTGTGTCGAGAGAATTGCTTGGGACCGAGTTTGCTGATCTCACGTTCATTTGATGAAGGGCCTGATGAGGGGCTTTCTGAGACACTGCCTGAAGCCTGTCTATGGAACTTGCCTGAGTTGTACCATATTTTAACACAAGGATGCTCGACAAAAACAAGTTGGGTGCCATGATCTTTGTGTAGATTCAGGCTTTGCTGCAAAACGATCAGTGGGTGATTTTGGCGCTGGTGGTGGGCTTGCTCCTCAGCTCTTAGCAACTGGCGGTGAATGATGCCTGGAAGTTTCGACCTAGGCAGTACAGCGCCTGGTTGAATGACACTGGCCTGGTTGAGGTAGTGCGCACGAGTTGACATTAAGCAATTATGTGGCATTGTTGGTTTTCTGAAATTCCGGTGGCATTTAAGCATGTTTAAGGTGTCTCTCAAGATTTTGAACACAACAAATCTGTCACTTTCGCAACTGAAATGGACAGTCCATCGCTTCTTGGATGACATGCGATGCTTCTGCCACCGTTTTCAGTAGGCCTTGGCGTTTGACAACACCATGGCTGTGAAGGATATCACTGGTGGGGCTGTTCAGGAGGCCCAAACCCACATTGGATAGACAGGGCGTTTAGAATCATTTAGACCCCGTTTATGAATGGTACTGTGGATGGAAGAAATCCTGCACCACCTTGGATGGTTGAAACCCTACAAATAATGAGATACACCACTTATCAACTGGTGCAGGATTTCTTTTATCCAGTGTAGGGGCCCGTTTATGCAGCAAACAGTTGTGCACAAGACCTTGCTGTGCGGCAGGTAGATTTGATGCAGCCGGAACTTGATTTGCAGAGGAAGTTTGAAGCGACCTTAGCATTGACCGTTCGGGTATGAAATTGACGGCACCCGAAGCGAAGGTGAACACTTCCGTGGGTTGACACAAGGAGTAGTAGACAATTGATGATGAAGACATGACGAATGACATGATAAAAGAACTTCGTTGGTACATCAGCTTGGTCCAAGGATTGGGTGATGTGCTTGGATGTCGCTTCCCTCCTTCCAAAGCAGAAGGCGAAGAGAGAGAGGGAGAGAGAGAGAGAGAGCGAGCGAGCGAGGGAGGGAGGGAGGGAGAGGGAGAGGAAGAGGGAGAGGGCTTGAGCATCGATCAAACTTGTGCTTCGAAGCAGGCAGTCAGCCAGAGTCAATCCAGAGTCATAAAACCTGCAGCTAGCATGAATTTCTATGCATTGCAACAGGCGGCCATGCTGCTGCACAACATCAAAAGGCCCTTTTACATGCTGTTTGCTGTCGCTGATGGCCGCCAGTCGTGCAGAACCCGTGCTTCTTAGGCATGTTAAACCTGGTGGTGGCCTTCTCCTGAACTGGGTCGTGGCCTCTTCAAGAGCTGTGCAGACGCAGAAAGCCTGCACAGCATTGCACAACATTTTGTGATGATTTACTACATTACTACATTATTTACCTATATTTACCTATATTTACCTATATTTACCTATATTTACCTATATTTACCTATATTTACCTATATTTACCTGAGTGTGCCCAACCTTTGTCGTGCTAAGGGAGAAGCCTCAGACAAAGCAGACCAAGAGGACTTGGTGGATTTGCCAGATGCTTTGCCTGGAGAAAATCGCGAATGCTGTGCAGGACACTCGACGCTTTGTTGAGGAGGCCAAGATATGCCAAGATGAATTTGTGCCTTGTATCCGACTTGTATCCTGCATCCCCTTTGTCCAATTCAATAGCTTGACAATCTTGACAGACCGGCTTCAACTTCGACCAGAAAACAACCGAGACAATCCGTCTCGGCGCTGAAACGATTTGCTCTCAGAGTCTGGCATGTTCCAAAAACATCCAAAAACATGTTTAATTTTGATCAAATAGGGACAATAGGGAAGAGATGGGAAGAGTATTTTATCATTATCCCAACCTTTGGAGCAGAAAAAGTGAGAAACCAGGAGCAAGTTCAAGGCCAATGTCATGCTCTTCCGAGCCGCTCAGCTTCAAAGGTAATCAAAGGATGATAACATGGCCACAATGGCCACAAAGCAGCTCAGTTGATCCTCCAATATCTGAAAAACATGTCTCCCGATGTCTCCAGCTGAGGCTTGAAGAGGACACATCCAGCAACCTGAGACGACACGCCATGCACTTGGCAGACTTGGCAAAGCCTGGAGATCCAGAACCTTGCGACTACTCTTCGAGGCCAGGTTTTGCGATGTTTTGGGATATACCATTTGTGATAATTTGTGAACGCTATTCCAGCTATTGACAAGATGTCGCATATGTCGCAAGTTCTGTACCACACTCCACTCCGAGGCGCTCCAGAAGATGCCAGGCTTCAACGTGCTCCACGACGCGCCAAGAGTGACTTAAAAATGGCCGCAATGCTGCCTGTTTTTTCATTGAAAGCTAAAAGAAATCAATGGGAAAGAGCGGCTGTCATAGATTCAGGATGATTCAGGATTCCAGGATGATGCAGGTAGATGGCTCAAAGATTTCAGTATTTCATAGGCAGGCGCCTTGTAAGTGACCGTATTGTGATATCTGATGCAATGGACTCCTCCTGGGAGCGGAAGCTCGTTTTTTCGTACATGTGAATCCTGTGGTCTTCCAAAATCCACACTCCAGGGACTCCAGGTCACTGATGCTACAGTATTCGTCATTGATGGCTGATGTTTGATGATGTATGATTGATCCTAGGCAACAACGGAACGCTTTCTGCAGAGTGCCAGGTCCCTGGCCAGACATCGCCTCAAGTTTCTGAAGTTTGGTGACAAAGTTGGCCAAGGCCAGTCTCAGGTTTCAACCTTGGGCTTCAACGCATCCATTGCTTCAGCGATCCGCCAGGGCCGTCCAGATCAGGCCCGGCAGATCTTTGAGAAGCTGCAGAGATCCAGGGGTCGACCTGATGCTGTGACGTACTCCTTACTGATCAAAGCCTGCAACAGAGATTGCTGGTGGAAGGTCCTTGAGTATCTGGTGCAAATGCAAAAAGATCAAAAAGTGAAGCATGACATCATCCCCTACAGTGCATCTATTAGCTTCCTGAACAAGATTGCACAGTGGCAGGCTTCGCTGCAAGTCTTACAGGTCCCTTTCCAGCAGCTCCGCATCTTTGTTGACACGGGCATGTTTGCGGCCGCCTTCACGGCGTGCCGCCTTGGTACATCTTGGGAATTATCCATCAGCTTCTTGCAGAAAGCCCATTCTGCCAGTGTTCCTTTGGATGACGTCTGTCGAAACGGCCTGGTCTCAGCTTTGGTGCGTGGAAACAAGATCTCAACAGCAATGGATCTGGCAGAAAGTGTGGCCAACTTCAACTCCATCCTGATGGCCCTGTCCCACCTGTCCCAAAGAAGGGAAGGAACCGGAAAGGTGGCCCTAAAAACAGCAGCTCCTTGGGCCTACGCCTTGCAGGTGCTGGAGAGGATGGGAAACCTCGGCATTTTTCCGACACTCGGCACCTTCAAAGCAGCTGCAAGTGCTTCCAAAGATCGGCCTGACATGGTGCTTCCAATCCTGGAGACTTTGAAGAATTTGAAGACGACGGCAATGCTGAGTGAGCTGACTGAGCTGACTGAGCTGACTCATTTTGCTTTAGAAACTTTAGATGAAACGTCTCTAAATATGCTGCTGAGCTCCCTGGAACGATGTCACCGTTGGCAAGATGCTCTGTTCCACCTGAGTGTCGCCAGAGAGGGCGGACTGGTACCGGATTTGGCAAGCTACAACAGCGTGATCTCAGCTTGTGCCAAAGTGGCACGTTGGAAAGCTGCATTGGGACTGTCAGCTCAGATCCCCATGACATTAAAGGCAGATGAAATCACTTTGGGTAGCCTTGTCTCGGCCTGTCACAGAGGACACTGGAGCTTGGCAATTCAGCTTCTATATGAGGGCCGTATGCAGAACATTCAGCCCAATCGGATCATGGTTCATTCAGCGATTGTCGCTTGTGAAGGGCAGCATTGGCCGTGGTCACTCTACTTGTTGGAGGAATCCATCTCTTGGCGGGTGGCTCCAGATTCCTAGAAAAGCTGAGGATGGTGTGCTATTTTCATCTATTTTCTCATTGCTGGTGGTCCACCCAAAATGACGAATCGGGAAGATATGGGAAGATGTTAATTACTTTTTTTGTGGCCCTTTGCACCCGGAAATCTAAGGATTCCATGTTGATTGGTGCAGTGATGTCCAGCTGCGAGAGGGGTCATCAGTGGGTTCGCTGTTTGCAGCTGCTTAGCAGGTGCTTTGCCATGCACTGCCCTCCGGACCTGCCGATGCTCACCAGTTGCATCAGCGCCTGCGGTAAATCTCATCGTTGGGAAGCGATGGTGGAACTCTTACGGGAGGCGGGGACGGATGTTGGGGACTGGATTTGTGGCATTTTGATGTTTAGCAGTTTAGCACTAGGGAGAAGATGGGGAGAATACACGGAATCAATGATCATATGATGGGTTCAAAAGATTCCAGAAGTATGTGACGATTCTATATTTAGACTTATTTCGGAAGGCAACCTCTCTAGCGGCAATGTTTTTTCCCCTAGTGTTTTTTTAAGATAACAGTTACCTGCATGGACACTGGTCACCCTCGGCTGCTGAGCTCAAGCGTTATGGGTTCGGTTTTGATCAAAGCATATCAAAGCGATGAGCAATGGACATGCTGAGTCCGAGGCTGAAGCAGGCGAGATTTTGATTTGGTGGCCAAAATCCTTCCATGAAGATCTTGAAGTTGAAAATGTTGAAAGGTAGGTGGGATGGTGTCCGTTGACGTCCGCTATACTGCTATCATCTTAAATCCCTCATATCATCTCATATCCAATGAAAAACAACTTGTTAATACAATTTTCAACAGGTTATTCATCTTCTTACACCCTGAAGGCCAGGATGGTCATGTTCATGAAGAGTGCGATTCTGCCAGCGATGACCCAAAGGATGGCCAACTCGTTGGCGGCCTGATTTTGCGCGGAAATCACTGCGTGCTGATTCGGTCCTTGACCGGGGAATGGGAAGGCATGCGCCTGCCATGGGGAGCAGCAGATAAAGATGAAAGAGGGGCAGAGGCAGCCGTTCGCATCGTGTCAGAGCTGTGTGAGATCGAACACACTCAAGTTCGAGTCTTGGACTTGGCTCCGGCAACTGTGGCAGTTCCAGGGATGCCCATTTTTTTACATGCCCTATATGCTGTCGACCCACCACCAGCTGGTTTTGTGGGTGATGTGGAGGATCCTGAGGATTTGTATGATTGGCAACTTGGCAGTAAACCGCCCAAAAAGCTAGGTCGACCTCCGTGACTTTTGATCATTTGTCCATCTTTCTCGCTTGACAGTGCTTTGACGCCAACTTCAGTATTGTTGAGTGAGTTACACTCAGAATCACTCAGAAGTGTTCTATGGATTGAACTTTTATTGCAGCCCTTTGAACACTGAGTGTGTCAGATTCCCCGCGGGCCCCAACCTTTTTTTGCGGTCGTTCACCGGGTGGCGCCTAGGTACACTTTCCCTCGAGCCATGGCAGCCTTGGCCAAAGATGCCTATGCGCGCGCAGCCTTGGTGACCATGGCCTGTGCGTTGGCGGCTGCTGTAGGTGCGGACACTGGTGCGTTTGCAGCTTTTCATGTTCAACCCATTTGGGATTGTATGTATATTGTATATACATCATATACATCATATATATATAATATATAATATATATATATATAATATATATATATATATTATAAATAATTATAAATAATTATAAATAATTATAAATATATTATAAATATATTATGTATACTATAGTATATATATAATATATATACATTATACATGATATATATATATATATTATACATATAATATAATAGAATACAGTATTATAATATAATATATATATATATGGTACCCCCCCCCTGGTACCTACCTTTCCTTGATTTATACTGTAAATTACAGTATAATTTGCTTATTTTCATATGTTGAATTTGATAGGTTTTTTATATTGAGTTTCTTGAGACATGAGTTCAGACTTGAGTTCAGACTTGACTTCAGACTTGAGTGTCATAGTCTCGATTCCTGCTACCCAAGATCCAAGATCCAAGATTCCAGAAAGCTTTTTATATTGAGTTTCTTGAGACATGAGTTCAGACTTGAGTTCAGACTTGACTTCAGACTTGAGTGTCATAGTCTCGATTCCTGCTACCCAAGATCCAAGATCCAAGATTTCCAGAAAGCTTTTCTTGGAAATCTGGGGATAAACCCAAGATCCAAGATCCAAGATTTCCAGAAAACTTTTCTTGGATGCACTTGCAGAATCTTGGATGCACCCAAGATCCAAGATCCAAGATTCCCAGAAAATTTTTCTTGGATGCAGGCTGGAAATCTTGGATGCACCCAAGATCCAAGATCCAAGATTTCCAGAAAACTTTTCTTGGATGCACTTGCAGAATCTTGGATGCACCCAAGATCTTGGATCTTGGGTTTATCCCAAGATTTCCAAGATTCTGCCAAGAAAAGTTTTCTGGAAATCTTGGATCTTGGATCTTGGGTGCATCCAAGATTTCCAGCCTGCATCCAAGAAAAATTTTCTGGGAATCTTGGATCTTGGATCTTGGGTGCATCCAAGATTCTGCAAGTGCATCCAAGAAAAGTTTTCTGGAAATCTTGGATCTTGGATCTTGGGTGCATCCAAGATTTCCAGCCTGCATCCAAGAAAAATTTTCTGGGAATCTTGGATCTTGGATCTTCGGTGGCAGGCTTTGAGGCTTGAGTTCAGACTTAAGTTCAGACTTGAGATCAGTGTACACATGTGTAGACAGAAACTCTCCGACAAACAATGTCCGTGTGCCTCGGTCTGAGCTTCGCTCTAATTTACCAACCTGAAATAAGGCTACAGTATATTGGAATATGTAATTCCCCTTACTAACCATGATTCCAGTGAGGTCACGACGTGAGGTCACGCTAATTTACCCACATAAACATCAATCTTTGTTGGGTAGTTAACCTCAATATAACCCAGATTTGCACAACCAATATAAAACCACATAAACATCCACACAATAACCATACAACATATTATATTACAGCATAAACCCATATGTAAACACAAAACGTAATGGTTGGTGGGTGGTTAACCCCTGGTCAATCTCTGGTACTCCCCAAAAAAATGTAATCTTTTGCTAGTAATAGTGAGTAAAAACTATTATTACCAATAACCCAGCTATTATTACTATTAGTCAATTAACCATTATTACTATTGACCCAATTGGCAGTGGTTATTATTACTAATAACCCAACTATCAACAAAGCTTTCACTACTATTGGAAGAAATATTATAATCCACTTGGGTGTGTTATATACATTATTACTAATAACCACTATTACTATTGATAAGCCAACTACTATTACTAATAACCTTCCAATTGTGGTTAATTACTATTATTATTGTTAATACAACTATTATGAATAATAATTACTGTTATCATTGGGATTACTATGTTTTCTTACTAATTGGGATTAACGCTTGGGGGGACTACTATTAACCTTCCATTGTGGTGAATTCCTCCAATTCTTTCAGTTAATCAACCATAATTACTATTAACCTAATTGGGAGTGATTATTATTACTAAAAACCCAACTATATTAACAATAATCACTATTACTCCTAATAACCCAGTTAATCACTAGACTAGTAATTAATGATATTAAGTTCACATTAAAATCCCATTAACATCCCATCTTTCTTGGTTTCTTAACCTCATCCTAGTATATTCCTAATATATTCACCAGAAAATTCACTATTAACCATTACATGCCCTATATTAACAATAATCACCATTAACTATTCCTAATTACCGAGTTAATCACTAGATTAGTAATGATATTAGTCAGTTGGGATTATTATTCTCAATATATGGAAACCTAATCCATTCATGTTCCAAACCACCAACCAGTGATACAGTTATTGTGATTATGGTTGATTGATTATGATTACTAATGATTACTATCACTATATATCATATCCCCATAAATATATATCATATGTTATTACAACACTATATCTATATCATATGGTTGAAATATCATTGTTGATCATTACTATCACTAATGTTATCTTATATATATATATATATCATATCTCAAAAAAATGCCCCAATTTCTGCTCCCTTCGTCCCTTCATCGTGCAAAGTACTTGCTGTAGTTTGCCCAAGTGAGAACTTGTAACGCAGCACTTTGTGCAAAGCCTTCATAGCTTCATCCTTTTGAACCCACGCTCCCTCAAGCATGTAACCCACATGGTTCTTGCAAATGACTTGCTGCCAGCACAGATGTAGTTACGAAGAAAGGAAGGAATTAACAGTAAAAAGTAGGTATCAGGGGGGGGGTTAGCATATATATATATATACATATGAAATTATATAATACAGTATATAATATAGAGTAATATAATATGATATAAGGTTCAAGGGGAATCCGAGCAGCACAGAAATAGAAGATGTAGTAGAGAGTCTAAACTCCAAAATGGAGAGTGCACCGGACGCAGATGGTCCTGGTGTGAGACGTTCATTGAACCATGAACTTGCGGTGATTGAAGAGAAGCCTGGTAAGAGATCAAAACATATTCGGAAATGGAAAGCTGGGCAGATGCCTGAAACAAATACACCAGTGAGAGCCGGAACAGATATCAAAACACCTTCTAGACCGAGAATCGATGAGAAGAACATCAGAGAGACAGTGAAAGAGACAGTAGACGTGGTAGTGATGGATATCGAAGAGCAAGTGAAAGACCTGAAAGCAGCTGTGAGTGAGCTGGAGGACAAATTATACGATTGCCAGGACGACCAACAAGCCTTTAGGCGACAACAACTCTGGAGCTTGAAGTCACAAATAGGAGACCAAAGAGCCGCAGCAGCGAAAGAAGAATGCTTCGTCGGATGGCCCAACCAGGCCACTGCAGACCAGAGATCTCAGTTTGTGCTTTGGTGCTTGCAAGCTGCAGGACTTAGTGCAGAGATGTGCCAAATATCACATACTGCAAAATCGTCAGAACTATCCCACATGTCCATCGTGTATTTCAAACAAAGTTGGATGAGAGCTCAACTTGACAAATGGTTCAAAGACGAGTACATCAACAAGAAACGTCCTCTCAACTTCTATGTCAACGGAACCCATACAAATGACCAGATTAAGATGAGACCGCAGATCGGCTTGTGGGACAGATTGAAAGCTGAACCAATCAAAATTGTATTGAAAGCCTTGGACATTGCTCACGACAAAGGACAGCTGAGAACAGATCTGAGCAAACTGAAACCCTATTGGGGTCACGATGCCATCTACGATGACTACTACACATACTGTTGGGTACATTTTTCGGTCCGTGATGTCCGTGCCACAGTCTTCTTGGACAACACCATCTTCCAGAATGTAGCAGACCATTGGTCGGAAGCGCTGGATGAAGTGAGATCTGGAAATAACAGACAAGCAAACAAAGGAAAAGGCAAAGGAAAAGGGAAAAGCAAGAAGTTCGATACTCCAGCAGGAAACTATCCATTCGACTATAAGCTGGCCTCTGTACAAGACTGGCGCTACGATGAACAAGTCAACAAACGCAAAGAAGATGAGGACAGCCTTGACTCTTGACTAGGCAGACCAACAAAAGCACCAACAGGGCTCAAGTACGCCCAAAATTCGCGTGATGTCGTTTCTAAATTCGCTTCTACTTATTGCCGTCAAGACGACGGCAATTTGACTTTGAACTCCATACCTTCTCTGATCGGTATAAGGACTGATGAGTCAGTACCTCCTCCAAATTTACACAGCACTCAAAACACCATTTCTCCTTGCATTGTCAACAATTTACCGCTGCTTGGAATACCACCGACCAGAGGTGAACCGGCTCGGCCGCGAGGAGCTCAGGCTCCACTGCGAAGACGTAGAGTATATCCCCACAGGGCTGCTTGCAAACCTAGAAATCGCAAGAGAGGTTTCCGTAGTAAGTCTAGGACGGAGGGTCGTAAAAAAGAGAGAGTTGAGAGAACCAAGTACAAACGTCGACTATTTCGTCAGTTTAAGCAATTTATGTTACAATACTCCTTTAAGCAGAAAGCCCTAGAGATGCGGAAGCGATCAAGTACCTGGCGCCTCTTTGGCAAGCCAGAACGAAGGCGGCAGTTTCACCATTTCTCAAAAAGAGAGAAAGAACAGAAAACTGAAGACGCACCTAACATGGCCTATGGAAAAGAAATTAAAGTCGCGTCCTTAAATGTCAGAGGCCTCAAGGGAGAACAAGCCCACACCAAACAGAAACTACTGATCAACATCATGAAGAAGAACGCTTATGATGTTCTTTTGCTTCAAGAAACTACTGTGAACCGAAACTGTGTGCAACATTTAGATGGGTTCAAATTCTTCTTCAGCACTGATGTCAAAGAACAAGAAGTAGCAAACACTCAAAGACGGCTGGATGAAGCCATTGCCAAAGGCGAAGGCAGAGCAAGTGTACAGAGAACAGATATTGAAAGAGCCGGAGTAGGGATTGTACTTTCAAAACATATGAAGCACTTCCTTGCAGATGTTCAACAAGTTAATGGGAGAATCATGTCTATAAAGTTGCGATCAAAGGGTCGTAACTTGAGGTTTGTTTCTTGTTATGCCCCCCACAGTGGATACAGCACCGATGATAAAATTGATTTTTGGGAAACCCTTTCTAATATTGCTTCCAAGACAAGAGAAGTGCTTTATATTGGAGGAGACATGAACGCACGTTTGCATCACAGGTTCCAAGCTGAGGAACACGTTTTAGGACCACATATTTTCGGAAGAGGGTTGAGCTATTTACGTAATATCTCTGATGCTACACTCGAAAACCGATCCTTGTTTCTCCAGTTCTGTAAAAAATCAGATTTGCGAGTGGTGAACACCTTCTTCCGAAAAAGCTTGAAAGGATATTGCACCTTTAGAGAAAACACAACAGAGCACGGAGCAGAATGGACTCCGACTAGGTATGCGCAGTTAGATTTCTGGTTGGTTGGCGAAAATTGGGCAAAAAGTTGTAAAGATGTCACTGCAAGACCTGATATACACTTTCCATCGGATCATTATATTGTTGAATCCACAATTCGAATCAAACTTCCTGGTTTCAAAGAGAATCCAAGGCCAAGACCTAAATTTCGCCAACCAACTACTCAGGAGTGGAACAACTACAATCAACAGTTAAAAGAACAACTGGGAGATGTAATCGATCCGAACCGTGATTTGGATAGTTGGGACAACTTTGCAGAGATTATTTTCCGCACAGCGTGTAATACTCTTTCCCAAATCACTCCTCGACAAAAACGTAATTTCATCTCCCGACGAACGTGGAAGTTGATAGAACAAAGACAAAGTGCGCACGAAGCTGAAAACCATCAAGTAGTAAAAGAACTCACGAGGCAAATTAAAAAAAATGCCAGAAAGGACAGAAAATATACAATACTTAACTCTTTGAAGGAATTGCCGGACGCAAGGGAAAAATGGCAAGGTGTGAAAGACTTGAAAAGAGAACCGCAACCGCAATTTATTAGGCTAAGAGATTTGAATGGGGAACTTGTTGCGCCGAAAGATAGAGCCGAAACAATCGCAACGTACTTGGAGCAAAAGCATTGGAACAACCCCTCTGAACACACTATGCCTAGGTCTGATGCCCTTCAAAGATTGCAAGACCAATTCAATGTAGGACAGTTCACGCTGCTAGAATTTGACCAAACCCTCAAAACAACAAAGAACAACAAACAAGCGGGGCCAGACGGAATTGCAATGGAACTGTTCAAATGGATGGACGCAGAGAACCGAAATTTTCTCCTCAATATCATTAATCATTGGTGGCGTCACAAGCAGGCGCCCGAAAGCATTTTTCGTGCACGGATCTTCCCGAAAACTACCGCCCTACAGTATCTCTTTGCTAACCACAATTTACAAAATATGTATGATCATGATCAGGAAACGTTGGCAAGTCGTACTTGAAGACCATTTGTGCGAAACACAATATGGATTCAGACCTTCACGAAGTACATCGCACGCTATATTTTTGACGCGTAGACTTCAAGATATTTCGGAGCAACAAGGTTCTAACATGATCCTACTCTTTCTAGATTGGGAGAAAGCTTTCGATCGGATAAAGCATGACCGGTTGTGGATAGCTTTGCGCTAGGAATCCATGAGCATTTCATAGATGTGTTGCAAGATGGCTACAGGAAAGCTTCGTTCTTTGTGGAAGACGAATATGGAGCATCACAAACTAAAAAACAACGCGCAGGCATAAGGCAAGGTTGTCCTCTTTCGCCGTATCTCTTTGTCCTTCTGATGTCTATAGTAGATGAAGATGTAAAATACCGTCTACAAAACCCACGTAACTTCAGAACCCCTAGCAGTTCCCTGCCCATACATCGGGTATACTATGCAGATGACACAATCCTCATTGCAACAAGTACCAGAGCTGCAAACAAGCAACTAGCAGAGATCGAAAGGGTTTCCCTACAGTTGGTTTAAAGTTGAACAGGGGTAAATGCAATTATATTTCAATGAATGGTAATAATGTGATAAAGTTCCCTGACGGGCAAAAGATGGAAAGAGTTGAAGAAACCACGTATTTAGGGCATCAAATCACTCAACAAATGGACGTTAAACATGAAATCAATCACAAAATGTCGCAAACTTTGAGAACTTGGTTCAAACTTGAAACGTTCTGGAAAGCAGTAGACTGCACAACAAAATGGAAACTGCAAGTCTATGACGCAGTGATCCGAAACAAACTACTATATGGTCTAGAAACGGTACACTTGACGCAAAGTTTACAAGGGAAAGTCAACGCCTTTCAGCTCCGAGGGCTGAGGAAGATATTAGGACTAACAACTACCTATGTAAACCGGCAAAACACCAATGAGTTTGTCGTAAGAAAGGCCAACGAAGAGCTTGGACATCAACCTGGGACCCCGCTGAAAATTAAACTGTTCTCTGACCTGTTAATAGATAGACGAATTAGACTAGCGGGGCATATTTTACGTAGCAATGACAATGACCCGCTTAGGCGGGTTAGTTATGAACCTAATTCCGCAGTAACGTTCGACGTAGGTAAAAGAAGAGTAGGTGGCCCCAGGCAGCAATGGACGCAATACTCCAATAAATACGCGTGGGAAAATGCTTTAGGGAAAGGAAGGTATGAAAACACCGCCCAACAAACCAAGAACTATTAAACTGTGCACGCAGCCGCCAATTTTGAAAACCGATCGCTTCCGCATGCCCACGGTTTCACCCATATGCCAATACCGGCATGAAACCATGGCTGAGGAAAAAAAAATAATATGATATAATATAATATAATATAATATAATATAACACAATACAATATAATATAATACAATACAATATAATATAATCTAATATAGTATAATATAATATAATATATTATAATATATACATATGATATAATGACACACATACATATATATATACAAACCAATAACAATAATATCAATATATATTATATACAATGATATTATTATTTATCTATATTTGTCTATGCATGTGATGATCAACTAATGTTTATGTTTCAGACCAGATGGATTTGAAACAACCAGTCAGAATAACATCAGATTGGTTTGGACATCTTTGGACTGTTGTTTTCAGACGTTACAGAGTTCTTACTTAGCCTTCAGCACGAGGTATTGTGCCGAAGCGTTGGGGAGGCGTTTTCGGACAGGCACAATGCCTTGGGACCACATGTTCGCAATGTTTATTGAGTTCCGAAGTCGAAAGCCTAAAGGGCCAAATGGAAGCTTTGTGCCGCCAGGAATGGACCACCCCTGCTTTTCAGATGCTGCCAGATCCAGGCCACACGTGAGAATTGATGGGAATGGTATATTTGAAATCCCCCTTTGCTGGGAGCCAGCTTGAATTCCAGGTCTCAACCTGGAATCAACGGAGGATGAGAACGATGAGGCCATGGGTTCCCTTGCTTTGGCCACTGAATGCACGACATTGCACGAAGAATGTCCGATGCAGCTGGATGCCAGGGAGCTGATAAACCTGATGCAAGTGGCTCCAAAGATACAGGCACAGGGAGAACATGACATTTCAAATCTGGGACGGACAATCCGAAATCTTCAGCACTGATTTTTTTGAGCGACCCACTTCTGACACATATCCACATCAGATTGCGTTGGTCAACATCGCAATGAAGCCTGGCTTTCCTTGCATAGCTCGGCATGGTTCGGTTGGAACTCTGCGGGTAGTAACCCTTTGCTTGCAGGCCATCCTGCGAAAAGAAAGAAGACGAGCCAGAGTCAGAACGACTGTTCCTGATGCAGAGGGAAAAAGATGAAAGCAACCAGCAGCCAGCACTAATAAATAAAAACAGAAAGTGAAATTACTCGTACCTTGTAACTGGCGGAAGAAATCTGGGAGGTTTTTCAAGCTCTGCACCATACTTGGGCAGGTGCTGACTTTCCAAGTGCTTCCCGACCCAGTCATGACGCATGCTGCCTTGACGGCATTCGCCAGTCGACCAAGTCGTGGGCTGCCCAACGGCAGGCCTTCAGATCTGGTCTGTTTCAACATGTTTAAAGTAGAAAAACAATGAAAAACATCTAGAAAGCAGGTGGCAAACATGGCATTATTGACCTTTGTGCAAGATGCGACTGGCCGTTTTTTTCTCTGGCTGCATGACTCCTGGACAAGCCCTTGGCTGCTTGAGCTCAGGTCGATATGAACAATTCGCCGCGTCTTTGTCGGTTTGTGCCTCAGCCAGACCACCGTTGAACCTGTTTGGGGATTGCCAAGTTAAGCCGCAGATAGAACTAAGGCAACTAAGGGCTATATTGACAATTCGGATGCGGCTGGTCGATGGGCGTGGTTCTGGCCACTCAGAGTTGATAGATCAGGGAGATGTTGGCAAAGTCTCGCACATCGACCTTGTTATCATGGAGAAATAATGAGAATGAGCAGAAATGTCGAGCAGTAGTGATGAGAAATTATGAAACATGAGAAGACATGTGTAGACATGTATGTCTCAACCTCGAATCATCGCCCTGTCCATGAGGTCTTCTGGACAGTTGCCAGCCAAAGAAGTCATGGGAGGCTTCACCCAGCAATATCTGGCGGAGGCAGAGGGTGACGGTGGGATGTCTCTATGGGTTTGTCTGGAAATGAGGCACCCCTGAATTTTCATGGATTTCAGTAGAATTGCACTCCTGGGGATTCTTGGTAGGGTACAGAAGAGTACACCCATTTTGGAGAACCCATCATATCCGATATGGTGGTTATTTATGTTATTTAGTTTCAAAGTTTCAAATTCCAATGTGATCAAAGCTGTTTCTGAAGGGCTGATGGCCCAGATTGGGCGTGCCTAGGATTTAGTGGACCTCCGTGACCTACCATCTCCTCTGGCGAACGCGGCCATGAGCTGCTGGACTGAACCACGACAGGGATGGCTACGAAAAGTCGGCAAACATGTCTGGTGATTTGGGGTCAAACGTTAATCTTGACACATGCATGGCAACTTCAAATTTGGGGTAGCATGGTGCCAGATGGGGACCCATCCTGAAGCAGGTGACTTCTCCAACAATGCCTTTCTCCGCAGTGTTTCTATGCAGGGTGGCCTAGTTGGAGGGAAGGCAAAATGGGATAAAATGGGTATGTGTACGTATGAATCAAAATTGTAGACCCCTGACTTGCAGATCTTGGTCCTGTTTCGTTCTAATTTTTCTATAGAATCCATCCAAACTTTGGAGTACCCAATTTTCCCACCGTAAATGAAATGGCGGCTGTCCACAACACAAAGTCTATCGCAACTGGAATGGAAATGCCACTTCGAAATCCGGAGGTCTTGGGACCCCATGTCGCAAGACTCATGCAGTGGCAAAGTACAGGCCGAAAGATGTTCTATCTATTGCATTCTATTCCTCCAGTGCTGGGTTTGGACACAAAAACATAGAAGCATGTGGAACCGTCGTTGCATTCTTGCAGTGCAAGTGCGCGCAATGCGAATTGTCCTAAAGTTGTTGTCTTGTGTTTTACTTTGCACTGTCTGCAGGGCTTCATAGAACACTTGGGTTTGGGGCCAGGCCAGGGTCTTTGTCGCAATCCCTTGGGTCATTGGGAACCTTCCAATTGTGGCAACAGCCTTGCCTTTTCAGGCATGAGCTCTGTCCGGACAAGACAGCATGAGCTGGAGACCAAAAAATCGCGGTGCTAGAGCGAGCAGATTTGAATGCAGGGAAGCCGTGCGCAAGAGAGCACAAGAGAGCCTATTGGACCTCCTCCTTTTCTGTGTTTTCGGGTAGTGGCATGCCATTATTTTTGAGTGAGCAGGTGTCCCATGCCAGTGTACAATGTGCCTGGTGAGGCTGACATGATGATTCTGAGTTTTGGGCTGTTCCTCCAATTTCGTTGAATTAGATGACTTTTCTCAACAGGCAGATCTAGTCAAGAAGATTTGTGACAACCTGGCCTACAAGCCACTTGAGGACACTTCCTTAGTTTGTCACAGGCCTGGTGTATTCTGAGCTCCAGACTCGGATTGAAAGTGCTACGCTCCAGGTCAACAACTTGTCCTCCAAGTTTGCAAGTGTTTTCAATGAGGCTGCTGTTGTGATTTGCACCACATCATTTACTGAACAGTAAGACATAGAAAGCATGCCAGCGGTGTCCAGGTAGTGAGGAGTCACTCTGAGACTCCATTTTTGGCCGACAAAAAGAACGATGGCAGCTTCAAGAAGCCCCATGCCTGGACACTGCTCAGCATGAAAGCTTAATTTCACAGAAGTTGCTGAAGATGTTGAAGTCTCACAGATTCTCACAGTCTTGTTTGCTTCGAGGTGGCTGCTGGCATGTGGTTTCGAGGCCTTGGTCATCCTTGGTCCTTGGTTCCTCAAGCATGTCGTGCTTGTCTAGGTTGGTCCTCTTTTTGAGCGAAATCGATCCCTGGTGTACTTGCCAGTGTCATTGCCTCAAAAACTGGTGCATTCAGATGCAGAAAAAAAAGAAAAACATGGAAAATCCATGAAAATCCGTGCCATAGCTGTAAGACACCTGGAAGCTTCCAAGGCCAGCCAAGAAAGTAGCAGTACGTCCAAGATTCATCCAGGAGCCAGAGCCAGTGACAGAGACATACAGATACCACAGGCAGACACAAGATGATAAAAGAAATTGCAGTCTGCTACAAGGGAAGTTGGCACTGCCGGAATCTGCCGGAGCCATGAACCATGCCGTAGCCATGGCCATGGAATGCCATGAACCAAGGAGCGCCGCTATGTCTATCGAGGAAAGCACAGATGCCAAGGCTTGGATCCCGTTGGATCCCGTTGGATCCCCATGGCAGATCCAGTGGCCAGTGGCCAATGTGGCCGTGATCGCTCCAGGTGCGGAACTAGCGAAAACGTTGGCAGAAACTGCACTGGAGGCATCGCTTTTCATGGTATCGCAGATTTTGTATGATCTTAAATGATCTTAATAATTCTTAATATATCTTAATTATGATAATTATGTATGTTGTATGATTTTGTAGTCAAAGGTTCGGATGTCACTTCCGACCAAACGGGATGCTGAGAAAACCACGGGGCGCTGTTGAAAGCTGTCAATCGAGTTCCACCACATCAAGTTGATCCTGAAATTCTGCTCAGGATTGCAAGAATCCACTCCAAAGGCAATCGCTGCGGTCGGTTTATGTCGGTTTGCCTTGGTGCAGATGCTGAGTTTTTTTTGAGTCAGGACGTTTGCAGAAACACAAGCGGTCGGCTCTTGATTTGTGATGCTTTGTGCATGCGCCAGTCTATGCACTTTGGCATGATAGGTGGGAAGTGAAACGGAAGGAAGGCTGCTGCGAGTCTGCGGACAAGGTTCATGTAACTCGTTGAATAGCACGCCTGATCTTTGATGATCTTTGATGATCTTTGATGATCTTTGTATTCTGTGTGTTTTTTCGCGTGTGTCTCACTATTCCGGTTTCTTCCTGTAAAAAACGATCGTTGCAGTCTGTTGCAATGGAAGCCTGGTTGGTGACGAGAACGTGAGCACACTTCGCTTCTTTATGTTTGGTACAGTAGTGCCAGCTATGTTTCTTTTGGCCAAAATTGAAATGTGCCTGAGTCTGGTACCTTGAGCAGTCGATGGCAAGTAGAGTTTCATATGGTACCTAGTGGATCCTAGTGGTAATGATACATTCTTAGAACTGTTTTTGGATGTTTTTGGCTATGACTTGATCTAGTCAGTCCATTGAACCTGCATTGAACCTGCAGGTGTGTCAGTCAAGCTTGGCAGGGCCAATGCACAGCGCTGAGAAACTGGTCAGATCTGGTAAGTTTGAATTGAAGCCATCATGTTTGCAGCTTTTCAAACTGTGTCAACTTGGCAAGGCCTGTGAAGCCAGAGACGGAGAATTCTGTGAATTCCGAGAACAACGATGCCAGCATCAAAAGCATCCAGTGCATCCAGGCTGCGAATGCGGAGGACCAGTCCGACCAGTCCGAGCAGGACAGGATGGACAGGATGGACAGGAACAGGAATGAGATCGACGGCAACGAAAAGGAACTGGATGAGGTGTGGCTTCAGATTCGTGATGCATCATGATGCATCACATTGGCATCAGCTACGTCATGTCCATGTCAAGCAAGGTCAGCCATTATAATCCATTATACACATTCTCCAAGTTTTCAAATGATTCAAGTGATTTGAGCGATGATTCAAGTGCCAGACACGCGACGTGGACAGCGATTCAACCGCTGAATGGCTTGAGGCGGGTGCAGTTTCACGATGTGAAACATGTTTGCCAGGTGAGCCTACTAAACGGTTTTGGAATTGTGGATCCACATACCCATCGTGTTGCGAGTTTTAGGGCACAAGTACTGGTCATAACCACCCGCACACAGAGAATTAGATAGACGGGAAACGAGGGGGCCTACTTGGCCCAACCAAAGCTACTTGGCCCAACCAAAGACGATGGGGTCAAAGTTGGCCGTCCGCAGAAAACCCGTGTTTTGATGATTTCGTATGTACCCCATGTGGGCCTCAACTTGAGGCGAAGTTGCTCCCAAATGAGCAACCGCAAAAACCCCGGCAGTACTAAATATGTATTGGACGGACATTGGTTTATGGAAATTGATGGAAATTGTTAAAAACACACGGTAAGCGATGGGACCTTCCCAAATTAGCGATACCCCTTTTCAAGGTTATGTCATTGTATTTCTCTAATATCCACATTAGCGATACCCAAATTGGATGTTGATTTCTGTGAATTATAAATATATAAATGTAGCAGTTTCCTGCAAGCGATACCCCAAGTTTACCAGATATCATTATTGTACAAACGTGTGGTAAGCGATGGGACCTTCCCAAATTTGTGGAAATCCTTTCCGTGAACCTAGGGTTTTCGAGATTGCTCAAATGGGTCCAACTTGGGCCAAAGTTGGGGTTTTGTTGGCCAAAGTTGACCCAAGTGGAGCCGATGTTGCGGACATGTAGGATCGAAAGGGTCCATTTGGCCGATGTTGCGCCGATCTGCAAAACGTGCAATTTACATCAATTTTCCACAGTCCCGTGCACTATCGTGCACTTTTTGGCGGCCGGCCAAAGTCGAAAATGAGCCCCCACCCAGCAGAAGCTGCACCAGAACTCGCTGCTAAACTACCACGCCTGCGCACCTTCGGTGCGGGCGGATTTTTCACGTGATCTTCCAGCGCGTCTTCGTGTTTCCCTTCCCTTCGGGAATTAAGTTAAGTGTTGAGGTCTTGGAAATTTTACAATGGCAGGTGCTTGGAGGGTTTCCGGTGGAGGAGGAGGAGGCATCAACTCACTTGAACACCTGTGGCACTCTGGGAAGTGGAGTCTGCGAGAGTCTGCGAGGATGATTACATCGTTGTCAGAGAAGGCGACGCCGGAGAAGAGGTCCAGCAAAACCACCTTTTTCCTGGCTGAGATGATGGTGCCAAATTGACGCCCACATTTGGATTTGTGTCAGATTTTGGGCACCCCAAGAACCCCATAGTTTGTATAATATGAATTATTAATGATAATGATATGATATATATCATCATATATCTAACATACACATGTTTTCCCCACTAAACAGTAGCAGGCGGTAGTAGGACAATGGGTATCTCCCATTTTGACTCTGCAGGTCGCCAAGATGGAGACCAAGGTACTTGCCCCTGCCGCCCTTGAGCGAGTCTTGCTGCCTTCATGAAACCTTCACAAGCGATAGGGAACGCAGCAATAGTAATAATCGTAAGTTCATGTTGTTCAAAATGTTCAAAACCCTCACACGAGATAGGGGATGACCCAGTTTGCTCACGGCATGTCCAGGTAACATTATCCGCGACTCATATATATTATTACAATTTATTACATACGTGTATATCCAAATTGTGAATATAATGATTATAATGGTTCTCAAAATCACATTCAACCCCAGGTCAATTGGTACCCCAATATTGAGCCCACTTGACTGTATGATATTGATTGATATTGTATCTTGAAACACCGAAGCCATCAACATTCAAGCGTCAGTCGCAAGATGTAGTGAGCACGGTCTTACCCGGTTCAAAATTCCCCTCAAGCTTCCAAACCGAGCATGGGAACCACCAGTGTCACTAGGTAGAAATGCCAAGAGTGGATGTCTCGCCAGTGTGCTGCTTGCTGACCTTTATGCATTGGAATGCCTTGGATAGGAGAATTCCAAGCAGAATGCGGCACCGGGAGCCATGAACTTTCCAGTGCCGTGGCGATGTCTCCTTCCTCAGGAGGTGCTCATGCAATTTATGTAGAGGGATGTATGGAGAGGTTTCTTCCACGGGCCCCAAAGATTCCCACAGGCTGTTGACTTTGTGACCTACAACAACCATCAAATCCTTGCGGATTTGTCCATGGCTGAGTTTTTCGAAACTTTGGAGTCAGTCCTACGTGGGGAGATCAGCCGTTAGTTGGCCTCTTTTCTTCTTTGCTGTGAGACTTGTGTGGCTATAGGGCTGCAGTTCACGTCCTTTCTTGACCTCCCTTGTTTGAACAAGAGAGAAGCGTCTGAGGTCCAATCGAACCGGTGCTATGATCGACGTGTCTGGCCAGCGTGACACTCCAAAACGACTCAGCGACCGCATCATTACCATCAGCGGGCAGGCTTGAGGTTCGAGTGAGCCGTTAAGACTAGCTGCCAAGCTCTAATCAATCAGTGGTCATTATAGGAGGTTTTACTGCATGGTTTATTCAGGACCTACTATTCTATACCATTATTGCATATTGTATCATATTATTACTGTTATTATGATCCATAGGACGGATACCTAGTAAATTACTAACCAACCAGTATAATGGGATGATGTGGAATTTTTCCGCTAACATATTCTGAAGGCCGAGCAAAAGGAGGGCGCTTGCCTTGGGATTGTCGGAGTCTCTGTCACAAGTCTCAGCTTTCTCAGCAGTGGACAGCCACGACCTTCAAAGATTCATTGTGGTCTTGTGAAGCCTCACACATTGTGAAAGGTTGAAAAGCTCCGAAAGCTACAGGCCAGTACTGTTCACATGTGCTTTTTCGCAGAGCTTGCGGAATGAAGCCAGGATTTGTTGGACAGTGAGATTGGTTTCTTTGTGATCATAGTGCCCGCAACTGCCATCCCAGTGATTGCCGCAAGCTTACGTTTTCACAGCTTCACAGATCCCGGCCCGACTCTGTTATTATGTGAGGAGCCGGAAAGCTGACACTACCTTGCAAGCTCAAGCAGTTTGCAGCACTGTTTTCAGCTCTGACTGGAGGTTGGGATCAAAGGTGCGACAATTGCTGAGGCAAGGTCAACGATTGGCATATGGGTCGTTTTGCCAAGATGGACCCAATGGATGTGCCTGAGGTGCTTGCAGGGACAGGAGTCGAGATCAGCATTGGCAAGGAGAACGCAGACGGCTCAAAAATGAAGTTTGAGGTCCAGAGGTTCTTTGACAAACTTTGTCCATCAGATTTAGGCAGGAACCCCCGGCAGAAGCATCCGAAGATGTCCAAAGATATCCACGGAATAAATTCACTGACCATTTCACTGACCATTTCAGGTCATGGGCATGCCCGACACTCCGATTGGTCCACGCGGCACGTTTGAAGATGTTTGGAAGATGTTTGAAGGATGTGCTGATGTGCTCTGCCATCACCATCTATAGACGAGTCCAGCCATGATGCCGCAGTCTTTCACAGCAGGCTTGGAAGGGACTGCTACGCAGGTGCGAAGACTACCACTTGATTGATTCTTCCGAGAAACTTAAAGCATCTTAAAGCATGAAGACTGAGAAGGGCCAATCTGATTCAACAGCAATCTTGTCTATTGCACGGAGAGGTGTCAAAGGTGCGCAGTGGTCCTGCTACAGTGACTTGCGCAGGTTACCACTGCAGTGGCAAACATCCACAAGGTTATTCAGGACCTGTAGTTTCGGAAGAGCAAGTCTCTTGAAGTGGAGATAGCCCATAATCATCATTAGCCACTATATTGGATGATTATTGATGGATGATTGAGAACTATCATCCCATATCATCCCAATCCTTTTTGCAGCCCATGTAGTCTTTGTAAGACTCCGACATGTGCCTCCTGCCCGGGGCTTTTGTTTTCAAGGACATGGCAGATCGAGGCAGACTGCTGCCTGCAGATTTCAAATACCGCCCTGACAAGGCGAGTTGTTGGTGGACATTCTCTCCTGGATAGCAACAAGTTGTAACAACTGCCCCCTGAGATCAACGATACTTGAGGCATTGGATGCTTGTTTTGTCATGTTTTGTCACCTTCCATTCTATGCGACGCTATCAAACAGAATTCAAACTATTTCAAAACAATTCAAACACACCAACTGGGAGACATTGGAAGCCCATTGGAAGCCCATTGGAGATCGGATGAATTCCGCAAGCAGGTAGGTCAGCCATGGGATGTCGTCACGGCTCTCCAAGGCCGCAGCTCAACTTGCAGCCGGAGCCGGTGCACATTTGCCCGAAGTCAGCTTGCCGTGTCTTGGAAGCACTGGACAAGACGAAGGGCAGAGTGGGACAGGAGGGTAGAGGTGTCTAGCTGTCTAGCTGAACCTGAATTCAAGATCGCACTCAATCAATGCTAACCGTTTCTGACAGCTTGTAAAAAGCAGTTGTATCGCCTTGATAGGTGTTTTCTAACTTCTTGCTTCTGTGCTATCTTGGAATCAGTGAGCCTATCATTTGTCCGACTAGCCAGTCGCTGGGTTTGCAATCCAGGCCTGCTGATCATGACCTTTTCTACGGCATGGATCCAACACAAAACTTCCGAACGAAGGCCCTGGCAATATCATGCAATATCCCCATTTTGACTTTTACTATATTGTAACTTGTCTTTTTTCTTTTTCACAAGCGTATTTTGTTTCCAGACCGTATACTAGTTGATATTGGTCTGTGTCTGTTACTGTGCTTTGAAGGCCAAAATTGTGGTGGACACCGGCCTGGCAGGTGGCGTTGCAGATTTTTCGAACGGCAAGATGTTCGCATTGGATGGTTGACATATGTTGACATGCCAAAGGGATCCAAAAGGCCAACAGTTTGCATCATCTTGCGATCTAATCATCAAATCTGATACGTTGATATATAATATATATACGTTGTAGATGCACTTGGTGTTTGGCCTATAGAAGATTTCGATGCTTGTCTGTACAGTCAACTGTAGCAGACCAAAGTTGCCACTGCTGCAGCTGGTTCGAGACCAGTGGCATTTGCTTTTTGAATCCTTTTAACTTTTGATTTTTGGATCTTTTTGGCAGGAATGAATTCAATCATCATGTCTTGTTGGCGATTTTTTTCATGAATCATCATGTGTTGGCGGTGCAATGAGTAGTAGCATTAGTAGCAATGGAGTTTGCCGGACGCCATTGCTAAAGAATCGCATCCCGGAGCCTGAGCCTGTCAATCGGACGCACTCGGACAGTGCTCTGGCAGCTGCTCACTGGGATGGACGCCTGAACTGCAGGCTGGCTATTGACATAGGCGCCTGAGGGAAGTGAACTTTTTTTCACGAAAGCTAGCGTCAGCTAGCTGGAGTCTTCTTGCTTTAGCAAGTATTGGGGGGGCTGCTCAAGGACATCACGTGATTTTTCACGCGAAAGGGGGCCCCCCCCCTCCCCCACCACCACCACCGTCACCACCATCATCATCATCATCATCATCGTTATTCAATTACATTTTATCATTATTGGCAATTATTGTCATTATCACGAAAGCTAGCGTCAGCTCGCTAGAGTCTTCTTGCTTTAGCACGTATTCCGGGGCTCCCCAAGGACATCACGTGATTTTTCCCGCGAAAGGGCCCCCCCCTGCCCCCTCCCCCATATATATCATTGTTATATATCATATATCAATATATCATTGTTGCATCCTCGTTGGGACGAACAATGCCGCGACACGATGATGACAGTCCCTCCGCAACTCACCTCTTCTCTTCCTTCTTTCTCCTACCCCGCTAGCTTTCGTCATCCACCCCCGGCCTCAAGTTAAATGTACTTCTATACTTTCGGCTTGGGCAAAGTTAATTGCTTTTTTTTACACAATATATCACAATATATCACAATATATCACAATAATATATAATAATATAATATAATATAATATAATATAATCTAATATAATCTAATATAATATAATCTAATATAGTCTAATATAATCTAATATAATCTAATATAATATATATATATGCACAATATACTTTTATTGGTCATTTGCAAAATGAGCTGCCAGTCAGCAGTTTTCAGTGGCTTAAACATCAGTGTTATTCGGACGGAATTTCTCTAACAACATGGGGGCATCATGATTATGGTGGCCTAATCCGGGTGCTGCAAATACCTGGGCAAAAAAACACACACAACAGCTGCTCTATGCTACTTGTGCATTAGTTTGTTTCATTGGAGTATATTGTAGTCTACGCGCTTGTAAATTTCCTGATATTGATAAACAAGACCAAGACTTGTACGGACTATTACATGTTAAAGGTCCGAAGTAAACCAGGATTGTGTTGAACCGCAAGACTGCTAATAAATATCCCAGGCCCAATTTGGCCATTCGTCAGGTGGCACGTTCACCGATCCTGTTCTGGAGGACGGTGAAGAAACTCTGAGAAGATATCCAGTGAAGGTGCTCACCACTGGGCAGGATCCTGCCAAAGGTTTGGTTCATGCTGCCTTGAGAGCGTTGCAGGCTGGGGGACGAGAAGCCAAACAGGTGAGGTTGATACTCCACGGCACAACTCTGGCCACCAATGCTGTGCTTGAGAGAAAGGGAGCGAAGGCAGCATTGATTACAACAAAAGGTTTTCGTGACATTTTGGAGATTGGTTTTGGAGGACGCTATGACCGCCATAACCTCAGAGCACGAAAGACTCCACCCCTGATACCTCGACATCGGTGTTTCGAAGTGTCACAGCGCCACTTGCCAGATGGCTCTGAAGTAACGCCATTGAACGAATCCGAAATCGAGTCCTTGGTGCCAAAGCTCAAAGAGCTTGGCGTTGAAAGCATCGCACTGTGTTTTTTGCACAGCTATGCAAACAATACTCATGAAGAAAGGGCTATTGCGATTCTGAGACCACTGCTTCCAGGAGTATGGTTTTGTACCTCCAGCAGTGTGAGCCCAGAGATTCGAGAGTTCGAACGCTTTAGCACAGCTGCCGCCAACGCTTACGTCCAACCCTTGATGTCGCGATACTTAAAAGATGCCCAGCAGTCCCTGGCTGCGCATGGTTTCGGGTGTCCCTTGCTGCTGATGACATCTGGGGGTGGACTGATGGATGCTGATACTGCTGTCATGTTCCCAGTTCGTTTGATCGAGTCTGGCCCAGCAGGTGGTGCCATTTTGGCTGAAAATGTTGCTCGAGAGGCGAAGGCCAGTGAAGTGCTTTCCCTCGATATGGGCGGCACCACGGCCAAGATCTGTGCGATTTTGAAGGGTCGTGCAGGAGTAACGCGGATGTTCGAAGTGGATAGGGCGCAGCTCTTCATGAAACATTCTGGATTACCGGTCCAGATTCCCTGCATCGATTTGGTGGAGATTAGTGGAGGTGGTGGAAGCATCGCCTCCATCGACGCAGTTGGAAATCTACGAGTTGGACCTGAATCTGCTGGTTCCAACCCTGGCCCAGCATGCTATGGCAGGGGTGGGACACTGCCTACAGTGCCTTAGACTGACTTCAGCATAAAGGATATCAAGGTGTTACCCAGTATAGCTTTCCAAGATGACACTCAGATATATTATGATATATTATACTGTACAGATAATGATCTAAATCGCTCACTATAGTTTGTTTGACTTTACTGTGGCACTCCAAAATCTAAGATTTGGAGCCTTTTTGGAGCCTTTTTGGAGCCTTTTTGGAGCCTTTAAGACTATGAGGTCACTGATGCGGATCTGGCACTAGGCCGCTTGGAGACGGGTTCTTTGGCACTTGGCGAGGTCGATTTGAAGCTTTGCAATGCAGAAGCTGCCATTGCCACCTTGGCACAACATCTCCAGGTTTCCACCCAAGTGGCAGCTGAATCTGTTGCTGAAGCCGTGGAGGATTCGTTAGTTATGGCAGCACAAGCACATGCAGCTGAACATGGATTGGATTTGCCGAAGCATGTCCTTGTCGCTTTTGGTGGTGCCGCGCCATTGCGGGCAGCTCACCTTGCTGAAAGGCTGGGGATTGAAACCGTTCTGATTCCCCCAGATGCCAGTGTGGGAAGTGCTGTTGGCTTCTTCTCCGCCCCGCTGGCGTTTGAAGCCATTGAAAGCTACAGCATGCTTCTCAGAAAGTTCGATCATTCCAAAATCAATGCCATTTTTCGGCAACTGTGGCACAAGACTGTGTCAGTTGTCGCGGCTGGAGCCGCTCGTTGGAAGCCTGGCCGGCCACCAAAAGAGAGGCGTCGCGCCTACCTTCGCTATGTGGGACAGGGCCAGGAAGTTTGCGTCGATCTCCCAAATCGAGATCTGGAAGCTGGAGATCCTGAAATGCTGCAACTGGAGTTTGAATCAGAATACGACCGCCTGGGATTTATTGCACTTCAAAAAGAGGAAATCGAGTTTCGAGCGTTTGCCCTTGAAGTTGTGGCAGACGCAGATCCATTGGCGTGGCCACGAGAGCGACTTCATGCCAAACAGAAGTTGTCAGAACAGTCGATTCTCCACTCAGGAGCACAAGGTGTGCCAGCAAAATCAATCGCCAAACGGGTTATCTTTGAAAACCAACAACTGGAACATCTGGTTTATTCGCGGTCTGACTTACAAGTAGGTGACTTCATACCAGGACCAGCTGTCATTTGTGAGCCATACACCACAACAATCTTTTCACAATACTTTGATTGTTGGGTCTTGGAGAATGGTTTTCTACAACTACAAGCCAAAGGTGCCGACCCGCAAAAGAAACAGGCGGAGATTGCATTTTCTCCAAAAGCTCGTGGTTTTCATGGGCAGGAAAACCAAGAAAGTCCTGAGCATACACTAGGACATCGCTTGGCTTGGACAAGATTGCTCTCCATTGTTGAAGAGCAAGCCCGGACTACTTTGAGAAATGCATTTTCAACCCTTCTTCGAGAGTGCCGTGCAGTGGGCTGTGCTGTTTTGAGTGCGTCTGGAGAACTTCTGGCACACAGTGAGACATCTTCTCCAAGTCTGACTGGTGTGTTACTTTTGGAGGTTCAGGCGTGCTTGCTTCACGGTTTGCAACATCTTTCAGAGGGGGAATGTATGATCCGCATCAGGGCAGGCTGTATGCCACAACATTCTGACTTGATTGTCTTGACTCCAGTATTTAAGGGTGATGATGGTGATGATCCACGGTCATGTGGCTACATCGCATCCACCGCCCATGTCAGAAAGATGGCGTGCTCCTCTTGTGTAGTCAACAGGGAGACAGTGTCAAAAATGGGCCCAGATGCCCAAGATGTGGCCGCTCTGATGGCTTCCAACGAATTGGGCCTTCGGAGACTCCTGACCCTTTTTGCAGAACGAAGTGTAACGATGGCCAGCTTGGGGAGGTATATCTTGAAGGAGTCGCGGAGCGCAATCTTCAGGAATCTGGATTTTGGAGAAGCTGTTGTGTCGCAGAAGCGCATCACTCTTGAAACCAGCACAGCGAAAGGTGCAGAGGTCCACGTTGTAGAGCTGACTGCTGAACTGCAGTGCTCCAAAGATGGCTTAAATGTGAAGTTATCAGCGCAACAGCACTTGAAGGAGAGCAATTCGGAGACTCCCCAACCTTTCAAAGGGTCGCCTGCATTTTTGTGCGTGTCCTTCTGCAAGTTTGCTTTGATGGCTGTTCTTGGGCAAGGCATTCCAGTCAACACCGGGTCGCTTGAGGCATTTCACATTCAAATCCCAGCAGGTTCGATACTGGATGCGGAGCCGCGCGAAGGTGCTGACGCCTCTCAAGTGGCTTATTTTTTGCCTGATCTTCTATTCCATTGCTTGTCCAGCGTTGGGAAGCAAGTCTTCCCCACAGCTGATAGCGCAGCTTGCTTATCAACCTTGTGCTGGAATGCAGAAACTGAAAACAAATTCGGACTGCACGTTGAGGGTGGTGGTTTGGGTGCTCAATCTGACCAAGATGGGCTGAATTCTTGCATTTTTCCTTGCGGTTTGCAGTCCATGCCAGTGGAAATCACGGAAATGTCTTCCGGTGCATCCATGTCGTTCAATTGCAAAGAACTGATTGCAGATTCGGGAGGTGCAGGCTGTTTCCGTGGAGGCTTGGGTGTTCGATGGGAGCTGATGGCGCGGCGAAAGGTCAAGGCCATTTCGATTCAAGGATGTTGCGAGGACGGACCGTGTGGAAAAGATGGTGGACTTGCCGGCAAGCCTTTCGCGACAAAGCTCAAACGAAAGCAAGGAAGTTGGGAGTCAGAGCAGTCCCAGCCAGATGAACATGGAGAAATCCGAGTGGGAGACGTTTTAGTACTGGAAACGCCTGGAGGAGGTGGATATGGACCCCCTGCCAAGCGCTCCCGCGAATCGCTATTGCGCGATGTGGAAGAAGGCTATGTCTCCCATGCTGCAGCTGTGAGCCTGTACAAGCTTGAAGATTCGAAGCAGAAAGAATCAGCCGCTTCCTGAAGATGATTTACATTGCTTTACCCCATATAAATATATATAAATCCGCCCACACCGCTTTGGCGGTGAAGGCGTGCTTATTGGGGGGCAACAGCAACACTAAATGCTCAATGACATTTGTTAATATAGCAGTCGCTATATCAGCTTTAGCTGGGGGGGGGGGCAAAAACGGTTTCGCACCGAGACCAGACCCCAAAAACGGTTTCGCACCGAGACCAGAATTCGGTGGTGTTTTCGACATTTTTCGAGGATTTTTGGGTGTCTGAGCCCAAGAGGGTATTGAAATGGAATTTTGGGTCATTTTGGTAGCTTTCCGGCAATGGAAAAACGGCCAAAAATGAAAAAAACATTGTACATAGCAAGATTTTGCAGGGTTTTTGGATGCCAGAGCATTGAAAACACTGCAAAAACAAGTGTTTTGGACTGACGTTATAGCAAAAAACGTGTAAATTACCGTATGCTTGACTGGAAACATTACAAAAACACTGTCAAAAGCAATGTTTTGGAAGGATTTACTGCCTTTATGGCAAAAAACGTGTAAATTACCGTCTGTTTGACTGGAAACATTGGAAAAACACTGTCAAACACAATGTTTTGCAAGGATTTCTTATATATATGTTGGACTTGGCTACCGGCATTGGAACATGGAAAAATTGAAGAAAACACTGTAAATAGCGGTATTTTCAACGGTTGGGGAGATAAGGGAATTGGAAGCATTGTCGAACATGATGTTTTCGACCGGTTTTATGGCGACAAAAGTGTAAAGTACCGTGCTTTGAAGGAAACCATTGCAAAAACATGGAAACACATTCAAAGAACACGGGATTTGGGGGACTATCTAGGCGTCGTTGTCTAGCTATTTGAAATTCCGCAGCTTGGAGAGCCTCCAAGGGAGGGAAAAGTGAAAATTCCATAGCTTGGGAAGCTGTCACGGCGGGGAAAAGTGAAAATTCCCTAGCTTGGGAAGCCCCCACGGGGGGGAAAAGTGAAAATTCCCTAGCTTGGGGAGCCCCGGGGGGAAAAGTGAAAATTCCCTAGCTTGGGGAGCCCCCACGGGGGGAAAAGTGAAAATTCCCTAGCTTGGGGAGCCCCCACGGGGGGGAAAAGTGAAAATTCCCTAGCTTGGGGAGCCCCCACGGGGGGGAAAAGTGAAAATTCCCTAGCTTGGGGAGCCCCCACGGGGGGGAAAAGTGAAAATTCCCTAGCTTGGGGAAGGGGAAAAGTGAGAATTCCCTAGCTTGGGGAGCCCCCACGGGGGAAAACCACCCTTAGCCCCTCTCACGGACCGAAATAAACCTGCGGTGTGGGCGGCCACCCCACGCGAAGCGGGGTGAATAACAAATTCCTGAAACAGCGAATCGATTGCCACTTGTCCCACTTTTCTTACAGAAAGGAGGCATAGTACATGTGTCTCAAGAAATCTCAAGAATGCAAATCCAGCCCCGGTCTGCCAAGCGTGCGAGGTATTTGTAGGCTGAACAGTGCTCCAATGTTATTCCGTTATTCCAATGTCCTGCTCCAGGATGGCTCATTGGCAAAGGCGGCCGCACCATCCGCGAGATGCAAGAGAACAGCGGTGCCTTTCTACATGTTATCCGTGAGGACAGATCAGAACCAGGTAACCATGGCCTGTCCGCCAGCTCATGCCAGCTCGTTCGCTAAGTAGAGCTGTTCCAGGACGAGCCAACTCCTTTGCTGAAACCTGGGGAAAGACTCATTGAGATTTGTGGCAGGGATGCTTAGATGTTGAAGGATGAAGCATGTTGACAGATTGAAGGATGTTCAAATATGTTCAATGATGCTAAATTGCTGAATCATGCTGAATCTATATTATCCAACATGTTTCTTTTTGGATTTCAGATCCTCGTCATCAAATGGCTTTGATCATGACCTCCAGAGGTCGCCTCGAGCGGAAACTGGAAGGAATCCAGGCCAAGCGCAGGGTGGCACATTCTACATGTCCTCTACTAGGAAAAGGATGCCCCGAAAACTTCTTCTATGTCATCTTCTTGAAACAGAGCTCAAATGACATTTGTGGTGCAAGAATGTGTTGACCTGTCAGGGAACAAATGCCATTTGCGTTTCTCATTGTGTGAATCCGGGTGTATGATCACAGCATGACACCTTTCTGCCAGGTGGTTCTTCAAACCGCAGACAGCATGCCTGGCAATGCTCCAAGAGATACTCGAATCCTCGTACCTGAGGTGGCTGCCCAAGTCAACCCTGTAATCTCAGGTATTCCTTTCAGAGTCAAGAAGCCATAAAATTTGAACATATATTATATATATATATATTGAATATGCCGTATGATATTATACCTATATATGGTGATCGATCTAAAGGTCCTTGTAAAGAGTTTGAATTGCAAAGACAGTTCATGTTATGTTGGGAACCCTCGCGAAAGTTTTTTTTTCGAGTTCGCGAGAGTAACATGTTTATTCGCGAAGAATGGTCGTTTCCGGATAAAGGAATTTTGATCAACAACCATACATAATATATATATAACATATTTATGTATATATATATGCTGTATGATTACACATTGATTGATGTGGCTACAGCTAAGGTACTTGCCAGCCCCCTGATCATGGACCAGGTGCCTGCAGATTCCGGATAGTGCAGAAGAACTTGCGACGCGACTGATGTGTTGAGTCTCTGTTTCTTCAGTTTCTTCGAAGTTTTGAAGTTAAATCTAAGATTCATGCTCAGCATCATCCTTGTTTGCTAGGTTGCCTCTGCATACAACAGCTGTGTGGTGGAGAGGATACCAGGGTCAGCTGACGCGGGGTTCTCAGTATTTTTCCGGGCATGGTGGCAGTGAAAGACCGCCGCCCAGCGCAGGGTGAAGCTATGCTGCTGGTGGCAGGGCCAATCACATCTCGGATTCAAGCGATCCAGGCAAGATATGCTTCTTGCCGAAAACGGAAAGGCAACGACCGCAACGATTCTTTTTGCCAAAAGCAACATAATTACATCATATATCACATCTATGGGCCCTCGAAGAAATTGGGAAATCTGATATTTTCAAGAACTGACCAATGTAGTCCCTTTAACTTTGTTATACTTTGTTATACTTTGTTACTTAGAGTGAAGTAAGCAATCCGGGCCAGGAGTTCATGTCCAAGACCGACCGTGCACACATGGAGGGCATCGTGGTTGCCAAAAGTGTGGATGGCGAAATTGTGGGCAAAGATGGACGACCGCGGAGGGAAATCAGAGAGGCACTGCGCCAGTCATCGCCAGTCCCTAGTGCGAAATTGAAATGGGTATGGGTCAATACCTATAGATACATTTTAGTGGGATGAACATCCATAAATCCCAGCTATTTTGGGGTTCACTAGGTACCAGGGTTTTGACCCATCCCCAAATTCTGATGAAATGGTGCCCGGCAGGGTTTGGGCTACGCTCCAAGCAACCCTCCACCTCCAAGAGAGCCATCTCCATGGTTGCTGCGAGATCCACAAGAGTCACTTGGCTAAGAAATGCAACGACCAATGCATACGTGATGTTGCCATGGTGTGCCTGGTAGATGATTTCTGTTGGCAGTCAAGCAATCTATGACTTCTGATGGTTCTCATGCAGTCTTGCGCTTGGAGTTGATCAGCACAGCAACAAACTAAGGGGGCATGGCCAGCAACAAGTGCCAAGCGAGGCTCATGCTCCACTCAATCAAGTTCTGCTTGTGCTTTGTATGTCTGTTTTAAGATAGCGAATCCAAAGCATCAGTCAGATGGATGTTGTCTTCTACCCTAAAATTACTGTTTTGGACGGTGAGTACATAAACTTTAAAGTTCAACCTTATCATTGGTTTTCTTTGTAATGCTTTCTCTTTGCATTTCATTTTACATTTCCATTGTCTCAGATTCTCTCCTTAAAAAAGCAGGAAGTCAGAGTTTTCATGAGTTGTGTTTTCTCGCTCCAATGCCAAAATTCAGCTTTAATCATGATCTTGCGTCAACAGCAGCAGCAACAACAACAACATCACCAGCAACAGCCAAAGGCAACGGAACCCTTGGTCCAGTCGTCCAATCATTTGCCGTTTTGCTAAAGAAAAGAATTTGTGTATGCTCTTGTTGAAACCCTCTAAATCCATCAAAATCATGCAAGATCCAGCTTTGTCATCGGAGGCCAGATTTGGCGCGCAGCCAGAGCATCCTCAAAGTGAAAGCCATGCCTCTTTCTCTGAGGTACAGTCATATCAAGCATGGCAAAAGGCTGATGCCTGGCCCGCGAGCCCTGAAAACAGCATTTCGAGCATGCCATCTATGCCCAGCAGACCCAGCAGGTTCAATCAGGAAGATGAGATGGTTAATGGCTACAGGCCGCATCGAATGGAGGAGGTGATAGACTGGCAAAGTCCAGAAAGGAACGGCCGAAATGGCAGGGCGTTTGAATCCACGAACGAGAGCAGAGAGTGGGAGAGGCAGCCAGCAATCTTCCATGAGCAACCAGAAGCTGTTCATGAAATCCCAACTGAGGATCCATGGCTTCAGGAGGAGAACTTCTCGAAGCGCCAAGATTGGAACTCTCATGATCCAATAGAACCCCAAAGGCAACCAGGAAAGTTCCTGGAACAACTTCCAGACCCAGCAGAGCCAGAAAGGCGGATGCCGACATTGCCACGCAAAACTACTGGTTATGAGCAGGACTGGATGTTGTTTTGTCGTATTGCCATGTACTCTTTGAGTTTTCCATCAATTTTACTATGTCATACAGCAACAGTGGTTTATCAATCCTTATCACGTCAGGCATTGCAAGCTCTGGCATCAGCAACAGAAGCTGCACCGCGCGTGGAGGCGGGTGAAAATCAAGCTCCCACAAACTAAAGATGGGATTCTTAATGAATTGAATGAATCTTATCATCATCTCGCACTGAGGCCATGTTGCTCAGCAGTGCTTCAACTGGCCGGGGCCCCGGGGCCCCAGGGCCCGCGTGGTCGTACTCGTTTATAGTTGAGTTTATGAGCCATCATGAGCCCCAAATGGCAACAGGTTTTTATCATCTTTTAGCACATGACTTGCATGGGTTGTAAACTTGTTTTGTTTTTTGGAAAGCGCCAAGGTAGCCAGCGGGCAGAGCTTTCGGTGATTTTAGGAATTGAGGTGCTGTTCCAATCGCTGGGGCCACAGATGGCCACAGGCCTTCCAAGAGGGATTTAAACAGCACAGATGATTTGAAGATCAACTGAAAATGATCTGCCAGAGGTTGGTCCCAAGTGGATACTTGCAGGATTTGTCACGACGGTGTCAGGCGAGATGGCACCATGTTTTTGCATTTTTTTTTCATATGTTAAAAACCATTCGACACAAGTCTCTACGGAATGTAGGTTCATATCGACATCACGGCCGACGATTCTCTTCCGGCATCATTAAGACAAGTAGCTTGGAACTGAGCTGGGGGAACCCGAAAAATGTGTCAGGAGTCAGCAGCATCAGCATCTCAACATTGCCAAAAATGATCCTCCTGAGATCTTAAGTGGAAGCGCTGCAGCCAATGCAGCAGCTGCCTACTGGTTGCAGGACGGCCTTTTCCAAAACGGTCAGTTCTTTGTGCCTCAAAGGCTGAACCCTTACTCCACTGCGACTGCAGGTTGGTGTGTTGCGGCACATGGTCATTTGATTTGGTTGATTTATGCAATGCCTCATTGGGCACAGTTCAAATACTGAACTGGAACCTGTACATAGACTAGTACCGGCAGAAGGGCTTCGGAAAAGATGCGAAGTGTGCTAGACGTTGGGCAACACGTGGCATTGCTTCCTCTCCGATGCTGCTTACAGCTGTGGTACAGCTGTGGCTGCTGCGCAGGTGCTCTCTACAGGAGATGCGGTCAAGAGGTCTCCCACCCCCTCACAGCTCTTTTGACGTTTTTTGCTCAAAACCCAAGCAAACTCCATGCAGTAGTGAACCGATCATGGGTTCCCTACTAGTCATGTGATTTGTTTGATTATTTTGATTCAAAGATCAATCTCTTGAGGAACTTTGAGTTGCCTGGATTGAAACGAATTCTTTTGCAGCTTTCGGCTGATTTGTGGGTGAGTGTTAAAAAAAGTCTACCATACTGGCATCATGCTGCCTGACCCTTAGGCACGAAAGACTTGTTGATAATTCATGTGCGCTTTTAGTTCTGTAATATTCCATAGCTGCTCCACGCAAAGGCTCGGACGTTTGGTGCGTCAAGGGGTGACCCGTCCCGTTTTCAGATGCTTGCAGTTACTCGTTATCATGGTTGATTTATGATGATATATGTTGACGATTCATGACGATTCAGAGTGATTTGAGAAGTTTGTGAGATCTTGTCAGGCCTCTGTTGCCTCCCGAAGCAGTAGTGCAGACCTGAGTCTCTTGCAGACGGATTGGCGCTCACCGGCCATGATTTTCCTTGTGCAATCGTGGTCTCAGGAAGAGACCGTCGTTGCTATTGAAAAATGAGGCCTTTGCTCTCCTGCGGTTCCAAGCCTGAGACGTGGCTTTGCTGCTCAGGCCAGATCGCAGAGACAGCACTACAAGATGTTACAAGCATTTGTTTTATACCATTTGCATACATTCTGAAATATTCTGAATATGTCTGAATACACAATGCTGTACTTGAAGTGAATGCTGCACTTGTCAAACGGTAGCTGCCTGTGTTGCCCAGCTGATTGTGCGAACTGGCTTCGAAGTTTCATCGCTTGCAGGTAACGTCCCCAAGGCACGATCAAATAGATTGAAAGTTGAAAGTAGCTTGAAGCGGCTTGAAACGGCTTGAAACAGTCTCGTCACAGAGCAGTATGACTTTTGGATGCTCTTGGAAAGCACTTTGTTTGACCTGTAGGCCTTTGTCCATGCGCGGTGATGGGCTGATGGTGCTGCGGGCATGTCATTTCACCCGGTTGCAGCCTTTCTAGAATACCGCCCAAAGTGGGGTCACTGGTAGCAGACAGAATAGGGAGCAGGCAAGTTGGCAAGAGGCAAGAGAACAACAAATTCCAGGCGCAGTGCATTGTGGCGGCTTTGGTGTACTTCGTGCCTCAGGATCGAACTGTGCTGTTTTCATTCGATTTCTTGGTCTTGAGTTTTGAGCCTGCTCTTTGAAGAGTCTTTCGCGAGGATGTGGTCTTCCTTGGTGGGCTGTTCTACCTTTGGCACAGCACCGTGTTGATCTAAGTTCATCTATGTGAGCGTCTTGATGTCCCAATGCAAGAGTATGAACCGCTGGGAGAGATGGCCAAATCAAATTTAAGTTCACATTTCAGAGGCTGTAAGCGCAGCACCCAAAGTCAAGCAAGCTGATGCTGAGTCTGCTGTTGAGGACAGCAGTCTCAGTAGTTTGAACTTGGGCAATCACTTACACTTATATACACCTTGAGCGAATCCGACTCTTGCACACAAATCCCACATGATGCAGCCATGCATTTTCATACACGTCACATCATGTCATATACCTGCGTGGATCATGTCGCATTGCGCTAGGAGTGGAAGACCAAGAAGGGCCTGGAGATGGTCAAAGTTGTGAAGGGCCGCAACACGTGGTATGTCACCTCCTAGAGAGTTAAACGTTTCAGACCAGTTGTTTCCTTTACGGTCAGCGTCGTGGATTGAGGCTTTTTGAGCGAAAAAAAGATCTCTGCTGCCTTCTGCTGCCCAGTGCTTCACTTCGAATAGTTGATGGTGACGGCCCGAGGCTACTACTAGCAAGGAACGTCATCCATATCGGTAAACCACTTCAATATATTTCAATAGGTTTGGGCATTCTTTTCGCTGCCATTTGGCTGAGAGTGAAAAGAGGAACAGCTTGAAGGGCCGACTGTTTGCTGCCGAAGCCATGCTGTAACAGCCTCAGCCATCTATCTAGTCCGCAAGATAAAGACTGATTTGGTTCCTAGCTGCTCCACGCAAAGGCTCGGACGTTTGGTGCGTCAAGGGGTGACCCGTCCCGTTTTCAGATGCTTGCAGTTACTCGTTATCATGGTTGATTTATGATGATATATGTTGACGATTCATGACGATTCAGAGTGATTTGAGAAGTTTGTGAGATCTTGTCAGGCCTCTGTTGCCTCCCGAAGCAGTAGTGCAGACCTGAGTCTCTTGCAGACGGATTGGCGCTCACCGGCCATGATTTTCCTTGTGCAATCGTGGTCTCAGGAAGAGACCGTCGTTGCTATTGAAAAATGAGGCCTTTGCTCTCCTGCGGTTCCAAGCCTGAGACGTGGCTTTGCTGCTCAGGCCAGATCGCAGAGACAGCACTACAAGATGTTACAAGCATTTGTTTTATACCATTTGCATACATTCTGAAATATTCTGAATATGTCTGAATACACAATGCTGTACTTGAAGTGAATGCTGCACTTGTCAAACGGTAGCTGCCTGTGTTGCCCAGCTGATTGTGCGAACTGGCTTCGAAGTTTCATCGCTTGCAGGTAACGTCCCCAAGGCACGATCAAATAGATTGAAAGTAGCTTGAAGCGGCTTGAAACGGCTTGAAACAGTCTCGTCACAGAGCAGTATGACTTTTGGATGCTCTTGGAAAGCACTTTGTTTGACCCGGAGGCCTTTGTCCATGCGCGGTGATGGGCTGATGGTGCTGCGGGCATGTCATTTCACCCTGTTGCAGCCTTTCTAGAAAGAATAGGGAGCAGGCAAGTTGGCAAGAGGCAAGAGAACAACAAATTCCAGGCGCAGTGCATTGTGGCGGCTTTGGTGTACTTCGTGCCTCAGGATCGAACTGTGCTGTTTTCATTTGATTTCTTGGTCTTGAGTTTTGAGCTTGCTCTTTGAAGAGTCTTTCGCGAGGATGTGGTCTTCCTTGGTGGGCTGTTCTACCTTTGGCACAGCACCGTGTTGATCCAAGTTCATCTACGTGAGCAGCTTGATGTCCTAATGCAAGAGTATGAGCCGCTGGTAGAGATGGCCAAATCAAATTTAAGTTCACATTTTCAGAGGCTGTAAGCGCAGCACCCAAAGTCAAGCAACTTGACGCTGAGTCTGCTGTTGAGGACAGCAGTCTCAGTAGTTTGAACTTGGGCAATCACTTACACTTATATACACCTTGAGCGAATCCGACTCTTGCACACAATTCCCACATGATGCAGCCATGCATTTTCATACACGTCACATCATGTCATATACCTGCGTGGATCATGTTGCATTGCGCTAGGAGTGGAAGACCAAGAAGGGCCTAGAAATGGTCAAAGTTGTGAAGGGCCGCAGCACGTGGTATGTCACCTCCTAGTTTGCAAATATCTGACAGTTCGTATTAGAGGAATCTGTTCTTGCTCGCTGACGGCATCATTGTATGGAAAAAAGTGCCTGCGTCACTGTTTCACCAGCATCTCTACCAGCAGATACCAGATATTGCCAGATGGTAGCCGCACTTGGCAGAAGATTGTGGTGTGATGATGATGTAGCTTCTGGATGTTTCTGGAATCTCTGAAAGAGCAAATCTCAATGAAAACAAAGAACACAGTTGCGCCACAGTTGCGCAGGTGAGCCAGAGGATCCAGAGGAAGCTGGATGGCAGAGTGAGACACGGAGTCAGAAGGCAGAAGGCACTGAAGATCACTGAAGTGGCAAGTGAAGAGTTTGCAAGGTTCAATAAAGTTTAATTTGAAATTCCTTGAGAGACCTGAGTTTGGCCAGAGCAAGCCTGTGAGAGCCATTGCCAGTGATTGTTGTGATTCGGAACAATGCCAGGCTCAACAATGTCATGCGATGAGACTCTTTGAACCAGATCTGATTCCCGAAACAATGACCAAAGATGACCAAAGAATTGACTGGGTGTCGAACCTGGGGGAGGGTCGTTCAGATGATTTATATGGCACATGCCGACCACGGATTTTGCTTCAGTTGTGCTAGTACCCTGCATTCACCCAGGACACCATGTCAATTTATGTCAATTGTACATACGCTTTACAAGTTGCAACCTCCTGTCCGAAGAGAAGGCGATAACAACTTTTTGTCCCAGTTGCTATCGCTGCTCAGAAGCTGACAAGAGATCGCAGATTTTGTTGCCGTGGTGCCTTGCACCATGCGCGCCAAGTGCTAGAAAATGGCACAGTCCGTCTAAAGAGTGCTGGTGAGGTAGCAACAATCTGTCACAAGATCTTCATCATTCCCCACACTCCATTTCTGGAACATTTCCAGACATGCCAATAATTTGCCATTGTTCTACGTATCACATGACATCACCAAATCCGATATTTGAGCCATGTCGCTCACTTGGCACACTGAACACCTGGGGACTATTTCTGCTTCACCAGTTGGACTGTGCCTGCTTGATGCTGCATCAACTTGTCATTGCGATCGAACCAGCCCTGCAGTATATCAGTATCACATATAGCCCTTATATAGCCATATAATGCCATATAAATCCATATAATGCCATATAGCAGTACTAGCAGTACAGATAGTACAGACTGGAAAGTAACGCTAGGTGCAATGGCCTGGACACTGTACAGTTACCGTAGCTCAAACAGCTGCAAGAGTCCACAATTTTCGATGCAAGCTAGTGCAGTTTCAATAACTCTGCAATAACTTCATCCTCATCATGAGGATGCTCCCAGACTTCCAGACTTAGGGAATGCCGATGTCGGGCAAAAGAGCTGCTGGATTGAGTGTGCCCGTGCTGTATCTTGCCGCCGGACGCGCAATCAGTAAACCGTCAGGTGTTGACCATTTGCCCTGCCGGTCTTAGTCCAAAATCAGCCCTTTTGCGAAGCGACCCAATTGTTGATTTACTGTCTTCAACCTCAAGTTCGCCCTTGCGACACAGCGGATATGCCACAAAGCCCTTTGCAGTCAACAACACCGTACAACCTTCGCGACATCACAACCTATCTGCCTGTACCACGGCAACGATTTGGAAACAAAAACTACAATCAACTTCTGAGAGGCACTGGCCACGACCCCAAATCTGCACTGGGAGAAGTGTAGCTCGCACTGCGGGTGTTTGCTTCTTTGGAAGGTTGGGAGGGGAAATCAAATAAGGGCACTGTGACTGAAACTGTTAGATTTCAGTTTTTAAGTTAATTCAATTACAAGCTGGCCACTTTACATCTTGAATAGGGAAAAGGAATGAAGTCACAGGAAGTCAAGACAGTTTTTCATACTCGCTGGAGGAGATAGAGAGGTTCAATGAGGGAATGCTGCGGAATGCTCCCACAGCACTTTGATTTTCGTCAATAAGGGATTGGTAGCTGGCTACGTGGTACCAGTACTGATGCTAGATGACTGCAGGTTTCAAGCATGAATCTGATTATACAAGTACAGCACACAGGCGTGTAAAATACAGTCTGATGTGAGACCAGATGCAACTTGGTGTGATGTGTTTGTCAGATATAGTTTTGTATGGTATGGTTTCGCTTTTTTTGGTTTATGTGTATAACTGTATAACTGTATAAATGTATAACCATTCTTTGAAATCTCCGAACATTTAGCAGGGGGTGGTTCTTGTTAAGGCCTTGTGATAGTAGGAAAGTCCCCGACATGTCTGCAACAATGCAAAGGAGCTTTTTTTTGTGCAACAGCAACATAGATACGTGTTTGCAGTCATTGCACATCAGGGTCGCAACTTGACTCCCTAATGCCATGCGACCGGAGCCATTGCTCACTCTATGAAAGCTGCTCCTGAGGCACTGCCCCTGACTGATCACAAGGTTGTTTCCAGTCAACTTTCTTCGAAAGCGCTTGTTGCCACGCAACTTGTTGTGACTGCACTGCTCGCAGTACCACTCGCCGACTCATGCGTTTCAAGCCCCGACGAAGCGCGCTACAATCAACAATCGTTGCAAGGCAAAGAAACTATAAGAAACTTGATATGTCCAGCTCAACCCCAACTCACTATGGATCGCTGCCTTGCGTGCAAGAAAACCTGTCACTGTGCCCCTGCTGTGTATATGCATATAATTGTATATAATATTATATAATGTTAATATGTTATATCATTGTATATAAGTGTATATAATTGTCTATATATTTAACATAAATAATTAGGAATATATTTGCGTATATACATATATATATGTATAATATTATACAGTATTATACACATAGTTTACACATACCCTCATCCAGGCCAAACAGTTTGATAATTGAAAACCATTTGAACGATCCGGTACATTCACTGCAGAAGCGAGTCTAGTCAGACATTTTGCCCGACAGAGTCCAAACCAGCAACATGTTTTTGCGGAGAGGTTATGTTTGCTGAAGGAGGACCCCTGTACAAAAGATCCATTAGCTTCACATTGGAGAATGTATTAGGTTTGTTGGCATAATGAATTATATGATATTATATGATATTATATGGTATTATATGGTATTATATGGGATATATGTTGTTTATATATCAAACTGATGACCCAGGTACTTAACCTGCTTTCGCAAGTCACGGCGAGCGAGTCAGTGAAACATGAAAGGCAAAAACGTGCGGATACTCACGCGCGTAGCTCTCAATCGAGGAGGTCTTGCGATTTGCAAAAAATTGTCCCCCGTCGTCCGGAAATCGAAATGGCGAAACAAAGATGTGCTCCGACAACTTTCCATCAACAAAACTCGGGCCCAACACTGTGCAGGAACGCAAGGATGCTTCACGTGCAACAAGGCTTCTTGGAATCGTTTGATCACCAGTAAGAGCGTATTTTGCGACAAAATTGAGCATAGAAGTAGACATGTCCATCATTGCAGCGTATGAGTACAAATGAGTACATTCATATATCATAATAGACGATGTAGGATGTGCGGCACCACACACTTTGAATTTCTTTTCACGGGTATAGGGAAAAGAGGTGGGAAAAGGCCAGTACGGCGCACGCATCATCTGTGGACTTTCAGTAAGCGGGGCTTCACACGTCGCGGTTCAAAGTGAATAATGTTTAATGATTTAAGAATCATTTGTGATACCCTGCAAGACCGAAAACGAAAACCACCCTTCTTGATACAAGCGCTTACTGAACAAAGTGCAGAACAATCAATTTGCTTTCGAGCATTTCTCGGCAGTTGATAGAATCGAAGATGTATCCTGCGTACCCCCCGTGTTCCACTTCTTGTAGCCTGTGGCACCACAGACGACCTGGAAATGTGCTGGAAATTGGATCCGTGGTTTTCTTGGGGGGAACTGTCGGGAATCCAGAAGACCATTACAGTTTGTCCAGAACGAAACCCTATTCTCCCTGTCGTCACCTTAGTCCTTGCTCCACCCTTCCCTAAACCCAGGTTTCCCCATCTGCATCAGAAAGAATATAATATATAAGACAATCAAACCCAAATCAAGTCAACTCAGTAATGACTAGTAATGTGTAGTTATTTTGTCGATAGATGTGGCACCGTTATCATTGTCATCATTTCGACTACAAAAAGTGTCAAGACATGCTTGCCGCAACAAGCTCAGCCATGTCAATTGGAAGGGTGCTCAAAAAAACTTGACACGAAATCAGCAGTGCATTTTGGAGCAAATCGCAGAAAGGCTTGTTGTGGGCGCATAAAAAGGACAAAAACAATCGTACTATACCTCAAGGTGGAAGTCATGAAAGACCCGTCCAATTTTCGAATTCAAGTTCATCCCACGGCAATGACATGTCCCCTGCCCCTGCCGCCAGCCCACTTTTGGGTTTTGATTGCAGCGTCAGCCGCCAGACTGACTTGCTGATGCTTGTTTGTTGCTCCTGTTGCCATTGCAATGTAGCCCCTTGTCTTTAGTCACGCGAGTCAAGAACTGATCCATTTTGTTTGCCTCCTACCATTTGAATCAGCCAACACGAGACAAAACCTGCCCCTTAAACTCCCCTTAGCATGTAACAACGCTGAAACCATCTGAAACCAGTGTGTGTGTGTGTCTCGTCCTCCTCGTGTACCTTGCACAAACCATGGCATGGCACTGGCATAGAAAGGTGATGTTTCGTTTCCCGCCGAACTTAGGAAGGGGCGCAGCGGGCATCGTCGCGCGCAACAAGTTTCGTCGCTTATCATGTGTGTATGGATTCAACACGTGGCAAAAAAAGGAGGCGTGTTGTCCATGCTACTTGTAAGTGGAAAGGTGGGAACAGTGGAAAACATGTTTAGCAATTTAATATTAAACCTTAGCATGCCGCAACCGTCAAAAACCAAACCCCAATCAGACCCCGACAGCCGTCCAGATCCACCAAACCATGTCTGTCGAATCGGCAGCTTCTTGCCGTTGTGTTGCTCCCAGACTTGGCCAAAGCCGTAGACGAAGGTAGGCCCGCCCTCAGGTGGGCCTCCTGATCGTGCAGCATAACTACCGACAATGCCAAGGCCACCGGGCCACCAACTATTTGTGCACCGGCGTTTGTAACGCCACCAGTAAGTGCCAATGATGGGTGCGACAACTGCTGGGCCACAACTATGGAGTCTTATCCCGAGGAACCCCGAGGATGACGGGCGTTTCACACACCGGACCTACGACCAGGCGCACGCCGATGATGATGATGATGATGATATATATGATGATATATGATGATATATGATGATATATG